TGCAGTTAAATGGAACTCAATGGTCTTTTTCATCGTTCTCAAAAGATAACTTCGAAAGTATTTGTTGCAAGTTATCTCGTCCCAAAACATCAATGCATATGCGGTGGCATTGGTCGCTAACCAGACGATACTCGAAGCTGAACATAATATCACTGGAAAAGTTAGCATTCAACACTTAATACGGAAAATTCAGTGATGGCGGACTCGGGAACAATTCCCCATGCTGTCATGGCTCGACCTTGTAAACATGGTCACTACGTGTAACTTCCTGCTTTTTTGTATTGAATTTATTACTATCTCCTTAGCCTGAATATGTTCCTCGGAAGTGTTAAAAATCATACTGCTGATTTTACGATGTGACAAGTCATTGTAAACAATGATATGAATTACATGTAATATCTTACAGATTGGGTAGTCAGATCATGACAACTCTATAATTTCTGGACTAGGCATATTATTATAATAACAAGGATAAATGCGTTAATACCGAATGGGACTATAATTATACATAAATGTATTGCGGTTCTGACTGTACGTAGGAGAGTCGTGTGTATTTTATGACTTGTCGAAGTGATCTCAACCCAACACAAAAGTAATAAGTATATTTTTATTATATCTCAATGATTAGCGAAATTGTATTTCTGACATTTTGTGACTTCATATAACCCACTTCTTCAAAATAAATAAATAACCGATAACAAATATTTCTACTCATTGGGAATTAACAAAAAATATATTTATTATTAACTCTTTACGCAATGCCTAATTTAAGTGAAATTATCGAGTTATTTCTATTTCCTTATATTTTTCCTTTCGTTCATTAAAATCGATTCAATATTCTTCTCAGTCACACAGAACGGGATTTATTATTATTCTATTGTTAATATTTTCTTTTCTTTTTCATTCTATCCTCAAATATGACAAATATATTGCTAACATTATTGAAACCCGAAATAGTTTCTCCATAACTTTTATGTACCCATAAGTTGTTTGTGAATAATAATAATAACTTTTGCCTGTATACTAATTAACACAAATGTGTCATCAAAATGAGTGATCAGTCGAATGGATCCATATAAGATTCCAAAAAATAATGGAACCTGATAACTGACGTAATAGATTATTTAATTAAACTCAGATCACCTTTCTAATAGCTTCAATCTTGAATTATCATGCAAATCTTGAGTACATTTAGATTAGTGGAATAATGTATTTATGATGTACGAATTGGAAATGATAAGTACATGATTAGTGTCTAAAAATCTAATTTTTGTCACGGAAGTGTATGTGAGAATTACATGTCAGGATCACCATGCCTTGTAAAGACGATTCGGGGCACAAGTATACAAAAACAATATGATTTACTGAATCTCAAGATTTCCTGATATACAGTGGAATTCATATGCACGAATGTCCGTCATCAGACGGTTAGTGACTTTATATCAATGCAATGTAATTTTGTATCGCTTTTTCTTTTAACATCGAATGATCAGAGTTTGAAATATTTATATTCAGTCCTCGATAAACTACGTATACGAAAATTCCAAGAAAGCTAGTTTGGTTTAACCGAACAGTTTTTTCATCCTTATTACCCAAAACTTATATAGTTTCAGAATATGATTTATTACAGGCCTGTCAATGGTGAGATTTAATTGATGATGAATCATTTGTTTGAATGAAATCTAGCTTTTAATATTAGCACACGCTTAAATATGACTGTAGTGTATGCTAATTATATAGATAGATAGATGCAAATGATATGTAACACCATTCAGAAGTGAAATATCTGCCAAAAGTCATTTGAGAAGGCTGGACTGAAGAAAAGCGAGAGGTAAACGGAAAGCAACTAGAATCAAAATAGAATTGGAAGAATCGTGAGGTGTGTACAGGACAGTTGACGAAAGATGTGCAAATGAAGTATTTAATGTATGGTTTTTATAGTCTCCGAAAACACTGCACATTTGCACTAAACAATAAATTGGTTATCCACACCTGAGTGTTCGTCCAGAGCAGCACCACTAAAGACTATTACGACACTCAGTTCCTCGTCCGATTCTACAGATTAAGTGGGTTGTATACAATATTTATCTAAATCTATATAGTAAAGTGGACCAAGAGCCCATGGATCATGAACTGGTCAACTTCGATGGAAACTGAGATAGTTGAACAAAAACTTCAAACCTTAGTTAACTTCTGAATCACAAAGAGCATCATTATTATACATTTGACTGCAATTTTAGGTTTTCATAATGTATATCCCTACCTTACTGATTGTTACGGAATGTGTTAGTTTTGTGCTAAACACTAGCTGAATTCGGTGGTTATTAAATTATTTTTACTTTAGGGAAGTTATGAGTAATTCTAAGAATCAGTTGATAGAAGCCGAAAAATTTCTTGTCAAATTTTTATCCAAACATCATTGGAAAGACGCTTATCAGAAACATTTAGAAAACAAAGGCTCACATGTCATGTTTCTTATCACACATTAACCTGTGCTTTTACTAGTTAATATGGTTCTAGAAATTTTAAAGTCTAGCCGTCATCTGCCGTACATCAAATATCAGCTGAGGAGTAAGGGGTTATTTTTCACTTCACGCCTTTTTTGTGTTCAAGCTTTTTCGTAGGTTCAGCCCAGGGTTATTAGAAGTGACATGTCTATACATCATGACTTGTCAGTTTCAACTGTTACCGTGACACATCACTTATTTGACATTTCATACGTATGATATATATCTGATTCGGTTGTGTAAATAAATTTGTGAGCTGTATACCCCAGAGGTACTATACGTCAATATACTTTGTATGATTCATATTTACAACCCTTTTGATTGGAACAGTACCAGACGCAGTCATGGTATTTTCAAATCACTTATGGCAAAAGAAGAATGTTCAATTTTCACTAGAGGCTATACAGATTCCAAAATACATCAGTTTGTAAGTCGCATTACTGTAGCTCAAACTCCTACTCCATATTTTCTGGTTTTTGTCAAATATTTTCATAAGTTAGTCAAAATTTCCATTTAGGGCTTCATCAACATACAGCAGTTCGCTATGTCAACATTTATTGTTAAGTAGGCTCAGAAAATTACATCGTAGAGATAAGACGAAGAAATTAGTTTTATCAAGTTTTTAAGTAGAATGTGATGCACTCGTCATTCTTTTTTTAGTTAAAAAAACGCCCACTCTCAATAACTATTTGTATTTGGAATAGAAGTAGTCTCTAGTGAAAGAGAAGATTGTAGTGCCATGCTTCAATAATAGTTCACTTCGATAACCGTTATTATACCAATATTAAAGGTGTATAAAATTAGAAGGCAAAAGGAAGCGGCAACTACATTTTTAATGATAAATGATGCAGGTCAGAAAGCTGTGGGCACATGAGCAAGTGTAAGCGAGCGAAGCAAAGATGACGCATAGTGGAGATGGCTGGGAAGCCAACTCGAGAGCGAAGCGAAAGATAATGAGTATTGTAGATGACTGGGAAGCGAACTCGCTATGAGCAAGCATTACTCAACATTTATGGTCAGACAAAGATGAATGACAGACATATGACGAATAGGATACGAAGGGTACACATATACGCTCATATAAAAATATAGTCAAGGTTAATAAGCGAATAATTAACAAGATCAAAATATGACTCATGACAGGCGAATTGGCTTGGCCAGTAGCTAACATAAAGTGCATGGGCTTAACATATAAACTGATACTACAAGATAATTCTGTCATTAGTAAAGGCAAGGATTCTTTGAGTTTACTTAACAATCAGATGGTGATAAGCATGAAAATCAGATATAGGGCGATAGCTTTTACACATGAAATATACAAGCCAAATGAAGAAGAAAATTAACACGAGTATGAAATAAATTATTAAGTAGAGAGCTGTTTGGAAGATAGTAAAGTAGCGGAATGGAGATCACACTTCTGGAAACTATAACTAGGGTTGACATGAAGAATACCCCAAGCCTTCGCTGTTTAGCTGTACATAGATTCTTAAAATAAATAGCTCTGTAAGTGTTAAACATTGGATGCTGACCACATTAGTTTTAATGTGTTCATTTAGCTGTAGGCGCTCGGTCATGCATCCGCACTGGATCACGGTTTGGAACGGCGTGCTCAACGTCTCCCGCGATCACTAGCTATATAAGATCATTCACTCCTCGAAATATTGATAGTCCATCAAATTTATCTTCAATCTCTTCTCTTCTGACTTTTGATTTCAATGGGTTGTCGCGATTCGATTATAGGTTTTACTGGTTAGGTGTTGTCAAACTACAATAGCTGTGGTATTTTCAGCTGTGTGCATGTTTTCTTTCCGGCTTCCCTTAGATTACGTTTTCCTGAACTTGAAGATAAAATGGAATAAAGATTTAAGTTGAGGCAAACTGATAAACCGACCTAAATACTGAGTATCATACCTACAGATTTTTATGAACTCACTTTGAAATAACTTTGTTGGACAGATTTCGGATATGCATTTTGAAGGCACAAACTTGAAACACTTATGAAAAGCGTTTCACATAAGCGAGCAACCTCAAGGATACTTTTCAAAAAGAATCAAAGTCATAGTTTTTTCAGCACGTGTCACTATATCGGCCATCTTCTGGAAATATGATTTTTAGTTCTGGAGGATTACAGAACTTTCGAATTTGGTGATAGTTCGAAAAATTCATTACTACCGATCTCTTCACGTTACAAAACAGTTTTTTAAGGTTTAAACTTTGTTGTTAGTCCAGTGGGACATGAAATCAATCTATAGAGGATAGTACTTAAGCATGCAAACCTAAATTACTTTTCGATTTTCCAGGAAACTGAAATAACAAAGTATCAGTTGAAAGATGATAATACGGATTTAATAAACTGAGCACAACTGACTAACATTCGTTCAATCAACTCAATGAAGAAAATATCACGTTTATCTGCTATTTCTTACAGTCAACGTATTGGACACTAGACACTAATAGTAACCACGTTTAACTGTTGCGTTACCCCCAGCAAGCATGGTTCAACGATGTGATGTTGGATTTTCCGATCTCAAGTCGCAGTTGCCTTCCTTAGTAGACATACCAGGGGAAGAAACAAGGATTCTTGACTTTTGGAAAAGTCACGATACATTCAAAACATCTTTAAAACACTCCTTCGGGAGACGACGGTAATCATTTTGTGAAGTTATATTCGGGGTGTTATAATATTTCAATGCTTCTTCAACTGAGCGTTTTATTTTATATTTAAGGTTTACATTTTATGATGGCCCGCCATTCGCTACAGGTTTGCCACACTATGGTCATCTGTTAGCTGGGACAATAAAGGATATCATAACACGTTACGCTCATCAGAGAGGTTATCATGTTGAACGTAGGTTTGGATGGGACTGTCATGGATTACCTGTGGTTAGTTAACCTTTTTGATTTTATTTAAAAGGAGTACGAAGTTGACAAAGAGCTTGGAATTACGGGCCCTCACGATGTAGAAAAGATGGGAGTAGCCTGCTACAACAATAAGTGTCGAGCTATTGTCATGCGTTACAGTTCTCAGTGGGAAGTAAGTTTTTGTATTGGAAGCTTATGCGTAGAAAGTAACAAACCGTCTGGGTCGCTGGATTGATTTTGAAAATGACTACAGGACTATGTATCCGTGGTTTATGGAGTCTGTTTGGTGGGTTTTTAAACAGCTGTATGATAAGGGTTTGGTGTATCGTGGTCTAAAAGTAATGCCGTTCTCAACTGCATGCTCAACCCCTCTTTCAAACTTTGAGGCAGGACAAAATTATAAAGACGTTCAAGATCCCTCTGGTAACTTATTATTTCTCATTGAATATTTAAAAAGTTATTGTTAGCTTCCCGCTGGACAATGATCCTGAAACTTCAATGATAGCTTGGACAACAACTCCTTGGACTCTTGTTAGCAACCTTGCTCTGTGCATGCATCCTGACAAAGAATATGTTAAGATTTTGGGTAAGTAATGAGTTAGTTTATTCGCAAATGATGTCGAAGTAACTATTATCTTTGTTAGAATACATAGTGAAATTTTTTTCTACCATCAGTATTCTTACACTCATCAATATGGTTTTTATGCCCCACAGTTTAACGACGCACAAATTGAAAGGAATAGAGTTCTTAGACCCATAACTGTGCTATTAGTATCTATTGTAATTGTTAATGAAGCTCAAGCCAATCATATCGCTGAGATTTTCGACCATTGCTAAGTATACTTACTGTTTATCACTTTACTCTTTTCTTCGCTTCTTGTTTAACCTTTTCACTCATTCACTCTCTTCTCAATGTTGTTAAAAGAGGTTGCTGCTACGTTGACGTGGTGTTCGGGCTTGCCTATCGTGATGATCCAATCGAGCTATGCTGGCTGGAACAATCGTTCCTCAAGGTCCTACCATGCCAGGCAGGTCGGTTGAAGAGCGGTGAGACTAAAAGCAGAAATCCCAAGGTCCGAAGGCGAAGTCGTACTGCTGACTGTACAGAGGTGTTACGGCAGTAAGGTGTTTCCTTCAGACAACCAGCATGACAGCGATGCTGCCTTCCCACAAGGAGGGGTGGAGTTAGAAAAGGTGAACCCTAAAAATGCACACCTCGCCTTATCCCACGGATTTCCGTCTCCGGCGGTAAGGACTTTTGAAGAACGGAGCTAACACATCAAAAATCCCCCACAAAAAGGCCGTGCGTGACCGGCCTCATGCAGTTGTCCCTTGGGCACTGCGGTCACGCTCCCAGGTCGTTAAGACCAACACTAATCCAACTTCTTTTTCAGGTCCCTCAAGAAATACCCTTCCACGGTGTGGGCAGCCGGGAAGTGATACTAGCCCTCATACCCTTAACTGCACACGAGACCAAGTTGGTCGCTTTCAAATCCTTCCTGCACCTAATAACTCTCTTATCTCCACGACTAACCCTTCCCATGTCTTTTTATCACCTCGCACCGCTAGGGCAAACGATTCGAGTACACAGAACGTTATTCCTGATCTCCTGAAACCACGCTCTAAAGTACATGTAGGAACTTTTAATGTTCGAACATTGTGCCAAATAGGACAACAGGCTTCCTTAGCTAGGACTCTAGAATCTTACACCATCGATTTATTATTTATTTATTATTTATTTATTTAAACACAAATATTGGTACGAGAAAGCACCAGATAAATATGCACCATACAAATCTCTTTCGATTTGTGTGAGGGCTGTGATACTGCTCAGGTGCCCGAACTGAAGCAGGTTGTTTTCTTAGGGGGCCACACCCGGAGCCTTTGACCGAAAGATCTGATCCATAAGGCAGCGGAGCATCGTGAGGAGATGCAGTCCCATGGTAGCCGGTGACCAACAGTTGGTTCATACGCCATTCGTTCCTTTGGGATACTGGAGCCCATGTGCATCATTGGTTTGGAATCAGGGTTTTCCAACTCCCCTAGGTGGACTCGCCTTGTCCACCGGACAGGCGCCGGACATTCGCTTTTCGTCCTCTCACTTTTGTGAACAACAGTAATGCCACGAGAAGGCAGTGAGTAGGACTTCCCTGACAGAGGCTATATATTCGCGTGGCCGTATGAGAGCATTTCGAGAGGGAGAGCAGACTCTCCTCACTCTCAGCCGTACCAGGGCATTTAGGGGCTTACACCATCGATGTGTGCTGCGTCTCCGAAACGCGCACACAAGATCCGAGTAGTGTCATTCATTTGACCACCTAATCAAAATAAAGTTTCATCTCGATACACGCTTCGTGTATCTGGAAGCCCTGATGCTGCTTCCCGTGGCCTCGCTGGAGTAGGTATAGCATTATGTCGTAGGGCAGAACTAGCTCTTTTAGACTGGATCCCAGTAGACAGTCGTCTATGCGTTGTCCGACTAAACGGATCAGTAAGGACCCGGAAAGATAGGGAAACTCGTCATTGCCTCTTTGTCGTCTCTGCCTACTCTCCCACTGACTGCAGCTCAGACGATATAAAAGATGAGTTCTACAGGAAACTTTCTGAACTTCTCCGAGAAGCTACGCGTTCTGATGTAGTAATAGTAGCAGGTGACTTTAATGCTCAAGTAGGTAAACTAAGTGAAAGGGAAAGACACCTGGGTGGATCTTATGGTGTCATGGCGAAAAGAACAGATAATGACGACCGTCTGTTGCAGCTATGCTCAGATAACCGCCTATTTCTTGCAAATACTAACTTTAAGCATAAGGAAAAACATCTTTTGACATGGCGACCCCCGAATTCGTCCCAACGTTGGACCCAATTAGATCACATCGCTATCAGCCACCGATGGAAAGACTCGATAGAAGACTATCGCTCATTATGGGGCACATGTTTAGATTCAGATCATGCTCTAGTGCGAGCACGTATCTGTCTGCGTCTTACTGGTCGTAGGAAAGACACTGCAGGGAAGCCTCTAAGGGTTCTACTTAATGATAGGCAAGCTAAGAATATATTTCAGGAACAACTAGAAAAACAGTTAGGCAGCCATGTAAGTTGTGTCCACCCCGAGGCAGCGTGGAATGACATCCGAAAAGCTGTAGAAACAGCAGTGATATCCGCTAGTAAGGTAAACCATAAGGTTAGGGAGAAACAATGGATCTCGGCAGCATCTACCGCACTGATAGATGCTCGTAAACTCATCCCACCTGGCTCTGAGCATAACGAAGAGCGGAGTCAACTTAAGCGCAGGCTTATAAGAAGCCTACGTAATGATCGTGAACAGTGGTGGGTAGCGAAAGCAAGAGAGATGGAAAAGGCAGCGGCAATAGGTAACAGTAGGCAGCTATTCAGATTCGTTAAAGAAACCGGTATTAGGAACCCGAATATCAGTGAAACCATCTCAGATAAAGATGGGCATATTATTCATTCTCAATCCAGGAGATTGGATCGATGGGCAGAACACTTTAGGGATCAGTTCAACTGGCCTTTAGCAACACTTCAATTACCCACGATCCCCAGTCGTCCTGAATGGCAAATTGAGGTAAGTCCTCCAACCCTCTGTGAGGTTGAAAAAGCTATAGGAAATCTGAAGCGAGGGAGAGCAGCAGGCCCTGACAGGTTGACACCTGAGATTTTTAAGGATGGTGGTCCAGTACTAGCAGTGAGATTGACTGAGGTCTTAGGTAGAATCTGGGAACTGGACGTAATTCCATCTGACTCCGCCTGTAGCTCTTCTAGAGTTACTGCCGGTCCCAAGCCCGGGTAAAGGAGGAGGGTTGGGCATGGGGTTAGCGACCCCATCCCGTAGAAAAGCTAACTCGCTAAAAAAGCGCTAACCAGAAAAAATAATTCAAACCATTTAAACTCTGCCCTGGGGGTTGAAGGAATAATGACGTCTCATGATGAAAGCCGAAATTCTTCGGAAGTCACGAGACCGATGCACCTTCTAACAACCAGAGCAACACTCTTTATAGGTACATGGAACGTCCGGACAATGTGGGAGACAGGAAAGACCAGCCAAATAGCAATGGAAATGAGGAGATACAACTTGGCAGTACTCGGAATCAGCGAAACCCATTGGACTCAAACTGGACAACAAAGGCTAGGTACAGGAGAGATGCTGCTGTACTCCGGTCACGAAGGGGAAAATGCTTCACACACTCAGGGAGTTGCTCTAATGCTGTCCAAAGAAGCACGAAATGCACTTGTGGGATGGGAATCTCATGGACCCAGGATAATCAAAGCATCATTCAGAACAAAGAAGCAAGGGATCACAATGAACGTTATCCAATGTTATGCACCCACCAATGATAGCAACGACGATGATAAAGATCAGTTCTATGAAAGGCTGCAATCAATTGTAGCAAAGTGCTCACGAAAGGACCTCACCATCCTGATGGGAGATCTAAATGCTAAAGTTGGAGTGGACAACACAGGATATGAAGATATAATCGGACGACATGGACTAGGAGAAAGAAATGAAAATGGGGAAAGACTTGCAAACCTATGTGCTTTCAACAAATTGGTTATAGGCGGCACAATATTCCCACACAAACGCATGCACAAAGCTACATGGATCTCACCGGACCATACCACAGAGAACCAGATAGATCACATCTGTATCAACAAAATATTCCGAAGATCAATGGAAGATGTAAGAACCCGGAGAGGAGCTGACATAGCTTCAGATCACCACCTGGTTGTGGCCAAGATGAGACTGAAGCTTAAGAAAGACTGGACAAACGGCACTACAAAGGTTTAATACAGCCTTCCTTCGAGATGCTGACAAGCTCCATGAATTCAAGATAACTCTCAACAACAGGTTCGAAGCTCTACAGGATCTACTGAAAGAACAAGAAACTACTTTGGAGGACAACTGGAAAGGGATAAAAGAAGCACTAACTTCAACGTGTCAGGAGGTTCTTGGTCCTAAGATGCATCATCACAAGGAATGGATCTCTATGGGAACCGTGGACAAAATTGAAGAAAGGAAGAACAAGAAACTAGCAATTAACAACAGCCGAACACGAGTAGAGAAAGTCAAAGCACAAGCAGACTACGCAGAAGCAAACAGGGAAGTGAATAAAAGCATTAAAGCCGATAAGCAGAAATACATGGGAGGACTAGCAACGACGGCGTAAAAAGCTGCAAGAGAAGGGAATATGAAACAACTATATGATACAACGAAAAAATTGGCAGGGAGATATAGCAAACCAGAGAGACCAGTCAAAAACAAAGAAGGAAAGACAATCACTGAGATTCAAGAACAGAAGAAAAGATGGGCAGAATACTTCAAGGAACTGCTGAATAGACCAGCCCCATTGAATCCACCGAACATAGAAGCAGCCCACACAGACCTTCCAATAGATGTCACTCCACCAACGATCGAAGAAGTCAAGATGGCCATCAGACAAATCAAAAGTGGGAAGGTGGCAGGACCTGACAATATACCAGCAGAAGCACTGAAGTCAGACATTGAAATAACTGCAAACATGCTTCACCTTCTATTCAAAAAGATTTGGGAAGAGGAACAAGTGCCAACGGACTGGAAAGAAGGATATCTCATCAAGATACCAAAGAAAGGAGATCTGAGCCAATGTGAGAACTACAGAGGTATCAGTTTGTTATCAGTACTAGGAAAAGTTTTCAACAGAGTGCTGCTGAATCGGATGAAAGACGCAGTATAGACGCCGAACTAAGGGATCATCAGGCTGGATTCCGTAAGGATCGGTCGTGCACAGACCAGATTGCGACACTACGGATCGTCGTTGAACAATCAGTTGAGTGGAACTCATCACTATACGTCAACTTTATTGACTACGATAAGGCGTTTGACAGCGTGGACAGGAGGACATTATGGAAACTTCTTCGACACTATGGAGTTCCTCAGAAGATCGTCAACATTATCCAAAACTCATACGATGGATTACAGTGCAAAGTGGTGCATGGAGGACAGCTGACAGGTGCATTTCCAGTAAGGACCGGAGTCAGACAAGGCTGTCTACTCTCTCCATTTCTCTTCCTTCTAGTGATTGACTGGATTATGAAAAATTCGACATCTGAGGGGAAATACGGAATACAATGGACCTCTCAGAATCAATTAGATGATTTGGACTTCGCAGATGACCTAGCCCTCCTCTCTCATACACACGACCAAATGCAGATGAAGACAGCAAATGTAGCAGCAGCCTCCGCATCGATAGGTCTCCACATTCACAAAGGAAAAAGCAAGATTCTCAAATGCAACACGGAGAACACCAACCCAATCACACTTGACGGCGAAACTCTGGAAGAGGTGGAAACATTCAAGTACCTGGGGAGCATCGTTGATAAACAAGGAGGATCGGATGCAGATGTAAAGGCGAGGATTGGCAAAGCAAGGACAGCATTTCTACAATTGAAGAACATATGGAACTCAAAACAACTCTCAACCAATTTCAAGGTCAGAATCTTTAATACGAACGTCAAGACAGTCCTACTGTATGGAGCTGAAACGTGGAGAACTACTACGGCCATCATCAGGAAGGTACAAGTATTTGCAAACAGTTGTCTACGCAAAATACTCAACATCCACTGGCCGGATACTATCAGCAACAGCGTTTTATGGAAGAGGACAAACCAGCTTCCAGCTGAAGAGGAAATTAGGAAAAGACGTTGGAAGTGGATCGGACATACATTAAGGAAATCACCAATGTGCATCACGACTCAATCCCTAACTTGGAATCCGGAAGGGAAGCGGAAAAGAGGAAGGCCAAAGAACACACTACGCCGGGAAATAGAAGCCGATATGAAAAGGCTGAATAGTAACTGGAAAGGAAGGCTCAGGACAGAGTTGGATGGAGAATGCTGGTGAGCGGCCTATGCTCCTCGACGAGGGGTAACAGGCGTAAGTAAGTAAGTAAGTAAGTAAGCCATGTAAGTTGTGTCCACCCCGAGGCAGCGTGGAATGACATCCGAAAAGCTGTAGAAACAGCAGTGATATCCGCTAGTAAGGTAAACCATAAGGTTAGGGAGAAACAATGGATCTCGGCAGCATCTACCGCACTGATAGATGCTCGTAAACTCATCCCACCTGGCTCTGAGCATAACGAAGAGCGGAGTCAACTTAAGCGCAGGCTTATAAGAAGCCTACGTAATGATCGTGAACAGTGGTGGGTAGCGAAAGCAAGAGAGATGGAAAAGGCAGCGGCAATAGGTAACAGTAGGCAGCTATTCAGATTCGTTAAAGAAACCGGTATTAGGAACCCGAATATCAGTGAAACCATCTCAGATAAAGATGGGCATATTATTCATTCTCAATCCAGGAGATTGGATCGATGGGCAGAACACTTTAGGGATCAGTTCAACTGGCCTTTAGCAACACTTCAATTACCCACGATCCCCAGTCGTCCTGAATGGTAAATTGAGGTAAGTCCTCCAACCCTCTGTGAGGTATTTATTTATTTATTTATTTAAACACATAAATATTGGTACAATGAAGAACCAGATAAATATGCACCATACAAATCTCACTCGATTTGTGTGAGGGCTGTGATATTGCCCAGGTGCCCAGACTGAAGCAGGTGGTTTTCTTAGGGGGCCACACCCGGAGCCTTTGACCTGAATGTCCGATCCACAAGGCAGTGGAGCATCGTGAGGAGATGCAGTCCCATGGTAGCCGGTGACCAATGACAAGTTCGTCCGCCATTCGTTCCATCAGGATATTGGAGCCCATATGCACCATTGGTTTGGAATCAGGGTTTCCAACTCCCCTATGTGGACCCTCCGTGTCCACCAACCCGGTTAAATCGCCGGACATTCTCTTTTCGTCCTCTCACTTTCGTAAACAACACCCCCGCCACGAGAAGGCAGTGAGTAGGACTTCCCTGATAGAGGCTATATATTCGCTGGCCATATGAGAGTATTTCGAGAGGGAGAGGTGACTCTTCCTACTCTCGGCCTTACCAGGGCATTTGGGGGCTGTGAGGTTGAAAAAGCTATAGGAAATCTGAAGCGAGGGAGAGCAGCAGGCCCTGACAGGTTACCCCTGAGATTTTTAAGGATGGTGGTCCAGTACTAGCAGTGAGATTGACTGAGGTCTTAGGTAGAATCTGGGAACTGGACGTAATTCCATCTGACTGGTCCCAATCACTGATTGTGCCAGTTTATAAGAAAGAACAAAAGTCCTCCTGTGACAATCACAGAGGGATCAATTTGACTAATATAGTGTCTAAAATATTAGCTTCAATAATACTAGGTCGCCTAACCAAAGCTCGTGAAGAGCAGACTAGAGAAAACCAGTCTGGTTTTCGACCAGGACGTGGTTGCATAGACCAGATATTCACACTACGTCAGGTCCTAGAACATAGACACAAATTCAAACGTCCCACAATCGTAGTATTTCTTTACCTTAAGGCGGCATTTGACTCCGTTGATCGTGAGGTTCAATGGCAGTGTTTGTCACTGAAAGGAGTATCGAAGAAGTACATTAACCTCATAAAGGCTCTCTACTCGAACACAACTGGTCGAGTTAGAGCCTATGGCGAACTGTCATCAGAACTGATTATCACAAGTGGCGTTCGTCAGGGCTGTCCACTCTCCCCATTCTTGTTTAACTTTGTCATTGGCATACTTTTAGAAATAGCACTTTCATCAGCTAAACCTCCAGGAGTTGAACTTTTACCGGGAAATTCACTTGTTGACTTAGAATACGCCGACGACATAGTTTTACTCGGTGAAGACGCTGACAACATGCAGAGTCTTCTGACCACTATAAGCAACTATGCAGGCATGTTCGGGATGCGATTCTCTCCCTCGAAGTGCAAAATGTTACTTCAGGATTGGGTTGCAGCGACACCTGAACTAATGATAGGGAGTGAAGTAGTTGAGCGTGTAGACCACTTCACTTATCTTGGGAGTCTCATCAGCCCTTGTGGTCTGGTGTGTGACGAAATCTCACCACAGATACAGAAGGCTCGTCTACCTTTCGCCAACTTGCGTCATTTATGGCGTAGGCGAGATATCCGTCTAGCAACCAAAGTACGGGTTTACTGTGCAGCAGTTCTCTCCGTCCTACTTTATGGCAGTAAAACATGGCCGGTAAGAGTAGAGGATATTCGTAGCCTTCTAGTGTTCGATCATAGGTGTCTTCGAAGCATTGCTCGTATATCCTGGGACCACCGGGTAAGTAATGCAGTTGTTAGGAAACGAGTACTAGGTAGGGATGGCAAATCGATTGATGAAGTAGTGAAACTTCATCAGTTGAGATGGCTGGGACATGTGTTACGTATGCCCGACTCAAAATCGCTTGCAATGGCGAAGGTGCATCCACTCTTTGTGTTCTACCAAATTCTAATCTTCTGGATTCCTCATGTCTTTATCTTTTTCTCTTTCCAAATTTATTTCACTGTACTATACTCCTTCAATAATTTCTTGAAACCCTAATCTTTTGGATTTCTGATTATACTCCTACTACTTCTACCACTATGGTATTTGAATCGACAACTGCATCTCTGTGCTAATGTGGTATGGCAACTCGAACTGATGTAGGTACGTACGAAGTTCTACGTTGTGACTGACTGAAAAGATGTGGGAACTTAAAGTTAAGCACATTTGTATAAGGTTTTGTATTGGTATCTCTTGTTATTCTTTATTTAGAGATGTTTCAGTTTTTTAGCAGTACGTCGGTAACAACGCGAACAACTTTCAGTGTGCACTCGTTTCGAATTGACAATGGTTTATCTACATTTTTTCCCTTTGATCAGATACATCCAAAAATCGAAAATTCATTATGATGAAGGCTCGTCTTACATCACTGTATAAGCAAGAAAGTGAATACAAAGTATTAGATACGTAAGTCCTGGATATTTCATCTTCCTACTTTTAAACGCTTTATAAACTAATACACCTTAAAAGTACTACGTTGATAATAATCTTAGAGACCGAAATTAAAAAACCCCAACGTTTCATTCCGTAATCTGGTCTGCGCTTCTTCAAGGGAATAATCTGAATTATCGAGGGTAAGTAATTTAATAATCGTTTGTGTACTTACTGCTTGTCCGCTCATGTGCACGTGTTGATTAAACAAGCATTTAGTACAGAATTACCTTTAATATCTCAGATAATTTTGATCATTTCCCTAAAGAAAAACTATTTAGATTACTGTGTAAAATGTGGGAGTTATTTAATTTCGGTCGCTATGACTTTTGCTAACGTAGTTTTCATTTTTATGTCTTCCATACACTTGGCACTAAACTGTTGCAAAATGACTAAATAAAAATCGGTTGGAAATTTTCATAAAGTAATACTGTATCATTATTTTTCAGACGTTTTATTTCAATTTGGAAGTTTTACCGATAGCAGGATTTTGTGATAACTTTGCATCACCATAGAACTAATTACTTTGAGAGTTTAATAATTCAAAATTGGTGATGTTTTTATTGTCACAGTAATTGTGTTTTCTAAATGATGATATACAACGTAATGTTTTAGTTAACTCCTACTTTGTCAAATAATACTTGTATTCTCTTTGCAACAGTTTCTGTACTAGTTGTCATTATGCTTTGCCAGTTGATCATAAAACACTTAAGATATATGTTTTAGTATGATGACAATGTTGTTAGAACTCTAGTGATTCATTTGTAACATTGTACCGCCCCCCCCAAATGCCATGGTACGACCGAGAGTGGGGAGAGTCCGCTCTCCCTCTCGAAATGCTTTCACATGGCCACGCGTATACAGCCATTGTCAAGGGAGTTCTGCTCCCTCATTCCTCGCGACAAGGTTGCTGTTTGCAAAATTGGGAGGACGAAAACGAATGTCGGGCGCTTTACACGGGTTGGTGGATATGGAGGATCTACCTAGGAGAGTTGGAAAACCTCGATTCCAAACCGATGACACTCATCGGTTCTAGTATCATGAGCGAACAAATAGTATATGAACCTATTGTTGGTCCCTACTTACTATGGGAATGCATCTCCTAATGTTGCTCCACTGCCTTGTGGATTAGACCCTTAGGTCAAAGGCTCAGGGTGTGGTTCCATAAAAACATCTACTTCGGTTTGGGTGCCCTAATAGTATTCGAGCCCTCACACAAATCCAGTGTTTTGTGTGGCGCATATGTACTTGGTCCGTTCTTGTACCAATGTTTTTGTTAAAATAAAATAAAAATATAACATACAAGAACTAAGTATTATTACTCATTCAATCCTCTAAGATCAGTCTTCTTGTTATTCATCATTTATTATGTGAATTCGATGATTTGGTGGATATTATTCTGTTTGTGTGCAAGGAAAGAAACAAACGTAATACTACTCGACGTAAGCATATCAACAATGTTTATGTCACTTCCTAATAGCGTGTAAAAGTTTCTTCAATTGTTGTCAATCGTTTCAGTACTGACAAAAAGTAACTTCTTCTTGCTGTTATTTTCAAACTGTAGTTTCAAAGGAAGATCCATGGAAGGCCTAACATATCAACCACCATTCAGTTACTTCATACATGTAAGTTGAATTCTTGTAATAACTCATTTTAGGTTTTGTCCTTTTGATGTAGTTCTCATGCTATCTAACGTAAAAGTATGGCTAAAATACTTCTTGGGTAAGGCATGGGATCACGACTCCCTAATATCTCTGACTGTTAACCTGATGTTTATAAACAACTGTAAAGGTTATTGATTCGAGGTTGTAAAACAGCCAAAATGAGCACACAGATGTTCGTTTTGATCTATCAAAAGTGTATAAAAAGAGTTGACTGAAACAAGTTTTAAATCCCCTATTTAGATAAAAAGTTGAATTGTTTTATTTTGTTGGATGACTTTGAAAACCATGTATAATCCCTTTACAAGTACCCATGTATTTTCAATCCCTCAGTCATCAAGCACAGTGGTAGCTATATTACTCTATGTTTTTTTCCGGTTTTTATGGAGCTTAGGATTCAAGAATAATAATACACCTTAGTGTATATGTAGTCACTTGTGCTGTTAAATTGCATGAAAGTACACAGCGGCGTAATAATTTACTCGTCCATCAGTTACTTGGTTGTGATCAATACTGTAAATACAAGAGCCATTGATGCTACTTGTTTACGTAAATCGAATTAGGTGAACTGTAGTTTGAACCTGGGACTCAGTATCCCAAAGTTGAACTCCTTAACGACTAAGCCACTAATCCACAATAGTGTGCGACTGTAGTTACTATTTGAGCTCCAATTTGCTATCTAAACCCGAATTCCTTATTATAACATGCATCTAACAATAATGAAGTGCATGGATTTAGTTTTTAGCGACGTCCAAGTCTGTGAGAACACATAAGCATTTCTTTTATCGGCCATTCATTCTGCTCTAATAGTCCATAGTTAACTGACATTGTTAATATTTTATTACATATAATCCTACATATTTTAATCTTGTTTTTTTTTTTGAAAATTTATCTTGGAAATGTTATAGCTTAAAAAGGAACGAGGTGCATTTCGTATTTTGTGCGATACTTATGTAACAGAAGATGTTGGTACTGGTGTTGTACACCAAGCTCCTTATTTTGGTGAGGTGAGTATGATGTAATTGACCTTTCTTTCAAAATCATACTTCTGTTTGTAACGTTAATTTGATATATCTAGTTGATTGATTACCTACCCCCCCTAGACTATTTCTAGTCATTTTTAAAGTTGTTACTTAATTTTTTACATTCACCAGCATCAATTAAAATGTTGATTGGCGCTATTGAATTATTTTTTTTTTCTATTTAATGGTCCCCGTGGAGAACACTCATTGTTCTTATCCAATGATTAGCATCTGGTGTTTGCAATGCTAATCACGTGTGAAGGAAAGTTTATATTGAAAATGATGGATGGAACTGAATTTAAAATTGACCATAGTAACATAAAAAAATAGTTATAAGGCTATTACCGCATTCAATGTAAGTTCAGTGGCATCCTGAGCTAGATCTACGTGTAGTCGTTCTGAACAGTTAGTAGTACTACTTGAAAGGCACACAATATTAAGGTAGATTGTTATGTGCAATCTGCACACCAGGGATATTCCGTTGCTAGTTCTACATACCGTGTGTGTTATAACAATCGTGTCGTTCATCTATTTTCACGTTTTGTTGCTTTGATGATGAAGGTTCGAAAGTCACAAGTGGAGACTAAGGGTCTTTGGTTCATCGGTCTTAGACAATGGTATTAGGCTAGTCGTTGTACCAGTAAGGAGTGTATTGGCAAGTATTATCACTTATTACATAGTGACACGCAAGTAAGAGGTACAAAAGATGAAGCTAACACACATTCGCTAAGTCTCTCTCCAACAATGTACATTTGGGGATGATATCTATTCGATTAATGTTTGGAGACAAGAAATTTATTAATAATACTCTTCTAAGTAGTACTGTCAGTACAGTTTTGATAAGGACAGACGGCTTGAAGTTGCCTGAGTTAAGGAGGGATCAAATGTCTGTCTGACACAGGCATTGAGCTGTAGTAAAATAGCTAAGTTTCCTTGAAAAAGCTTGGGCCAAATTGCTAGGTGAAACGTTGGATTTACTTCAAATTCTTTCTCTGAGATTTTACAAATATATTATTCCTATTGAATGTCTTACATCAACTCGGCGCCCAAATACTGAGAAACTATTCGCTCTAATTTAGACGAAAGTTCTTATAAATAATAATAAACTTTAAACAAATCAGAAGATGAGCATAAATCATGTGAATGCAGAGATTTAGAAAAGTAACTTTATATATGAAGAGGAATAACGAAATGATGCTACATGAAATGTATGAAAGAGATGTTAATAAGTGGGAATTTCCACATATTTACGCGCAAATATATACAAGTAAGATCTTACAGTTTGTGGACTGAGATTGCCGCTCTCTAATTGAACTCTAATTTACGTTCTTCTAATCTGTTTCTAGCTATGATGGAACCATGTTCTCGTACTCACACCAAACGAGTGCTGAAATATAAATCAGGTCGATGGATCATGTTTGTTTCTTATTACATATTGCTGAAGATATTGTACTGTGAAATAAGATAACTGATTTATTCAGTAATTTGAACACTTGAGTTTTAGTTATTTGACACTACCTATTTTGGACATATTACATTGCCTTCAGTCCAGGCAACTAATTTGTATAAATTTGGTTGTTGAACTGTATAATTTTTTTTATAGCTACATATCAATCTATCGATAATGCATATTCTCGTTTGTTTTTTTCTTCACTCCAATATTTATTAGGATGATTTTCGTGTGTGTCTGAGAAACGGTATTGTTGGGAAAGATACACCGATGATTTGTCCTGTAAATCCAAACGGTCGATTCACTGATGAAATTAAGGATTTTGCTGGGATGTATGTAAAAGATGCGGATAAGTTTATTTGTCAGAATTTGAAAAAACATGGCCAGTTAGTACATCAAAGTACAATTACTCATAGTTATCCATTTTGTTGGAGGTAAGTAATTTATTCGTTTTATTTATCTTTACAAGTTGAAAGTAAGTAAAGTGATAAAGTATTAACTATTTAGGGGAGCGGAATAGTTTAAATTTGTACTAGTTAAAAAGAGGATGACAACTACTAGTTATTCACATTGTGCAGTTCGCTTACTACACTACTACATGATCGTGGTATTTGAGTTTGTGAATCTACATTAGATTTTGAATTTTTCACATTGTAATCAAGTGATTAATTAGAATTAGTGATGCTCGTCAATAAACATTTCAGTTAACATCCGATGAGCATTAGTTTATCGCTGTGGAACATAATGTTCATCCTGTTTCAGTGTTTTTGACAGTTTATCCCAGATGTTGAATTAGCTAACGCCACAACTTTCTAACTTCCAAATATATGTTTATAGGTCAGTGGTGCTCCAATTCTTTCTCAATATAAATAACAGCCTAGTATTTCCAGGATTTACTCGATAAATGTTTAATTAAAATGCCCTGATTAAAGGTCTATGCTCTTGGGACTCTAACGATCTTCATGTCTCCTGTACCAGGCATTAAGTATGATTCCATTTTCATGATCAGGAATAAAGTTAGCAAATGTTTTGAGTACTATGTCAAGTTTATTTGGAGAATCATACATTAATCACTCGGAGAATTCTATAGTTTCTACTTCCATTGGTTCCAAATATGTGCGATCTGTTGTGGATAAGCGTGTTGTTTCTTTGTAAGATAAAGTCCACTCTACTGGGGATGTATGTAATCTGATACCAGTTCGACTGTGGGCTCATATCAATCACTCAGTCCCGTGACCAACCATCACTTGACCACTGCACATTTTTCGTGTTTAGCTGTCCATTCTGATACTAAAATAAAAGCTTCCTATATGTTAAGGCAATCTGTCTCTCAAGTGAGAAAATCAAGAGTTAGTGGGAGGTTGTTATTAGTCAACCCAGATCAAAATATATGCACAAATGTATTCATTCAAATAAATGTATCTTTCAGGAGATTGGGACAGATTCTCAATCAATGGTGTATGTGCCTCCCTTGGATGGTCAAGTCAAATCTTGACTAATAACATTTACTCGTGGGAATCTTTCTCTTATCATCTCCCGTTAAACTATCTGAACCCGGGACGTACTGTCTTTCCATCGACAGCTTATCTTTAAACGACTGTTGACTCCCAAACGACCTGGTACGGCCGAGAGTGGGGAGAGTCACCTCTCCCTCTCGAAATGCTCTCAAATGGCCACGCGTATAAAGCCACTGCCAGGGAAGTCCTACTCACTGCTTTCTCGTGGCATTACTGTTGTTTACGAAATTGAGAGGACGAAAAGCGAGTGTCCGGCGCTGTAACCGGGTTGATGGACACGGAGGGTCCACTTAGGGGAGTTGGAAAACGTGATTCCAAACCAATGGTGCACATGGGCTCCAGTATCCTGAGGGAAAAAATAGCGTATGAATCAATCGTTGGTCACCGGCTACCATTGGACTGCATCACCTCAGGATGCTCCATTGCCTTGTGGATCAGATCTTTAGGTCGAAGGCTCCAGGGGTGGCCCCCTAAGGAAACCACCTGCTTCGGTTTGGGCAGCCGGGCAGCATCACAACCCTCACACAGATCAAGTGAGATTTGTGCGGCGCATATATATCTGGTACCTCCTTGTACTAATATTTATGTGTTTAAATAAATAAACGACTGTTGTGAGTAGTACAATTATTCTAGGCATTTATTTTAAAGCGGGGAGGAAAATTTAAAGTGACACCAATCCACATATATTTTCAGGTATATTTGAATTATAAGATAAATATATTATCAGTAATCGTCTAATGTTTCTTATAGAATGATTATCATATTCGTCGAATGACATCATTTTTTGAAAATTAACTCCCTGATACTCAATACGTCTTATTTCATGCGATAAATAATCTTTTACTGAACATTTTTGACGTATTTGTTATTATAATGATCATTTATATTGTTAGCCCTGTTATCGTACGTTACATTTATCTTTCAAAATATAATAGTCCACAAATTCACATCGTATAATGGTCATTTCAACATTAACAAATAAAAAAAACTGGTTGATGGCTAGCAGTGAGATCCAGAACGCGCATTTCTTTTTGCTTGGTACTCATCAGCTGGATGTACCTGCCTCCCAGAGTTGGTGTTTACACAAGTAGGAAGAAACGCGCGTTTCGGATTCCACTGCTAGCCACCAGCCATCTATGCTTATAATGCTTATGATTTAAGGTGATATCGAGGCAATCCTCACACGATACACATATACCAATAAAAAACTGATCAATTACAGTCCTAGACATCAATAGGAAGATTCAAACAAACAATACCAAGTGAAATTAACAAATAAATTTACATTCTTAAATGTATATTGTGTATTTTAAGAACATGTACTTACCTTAAATCTGTCTACTCATCTTTGATTGTTAATTTGAACTCATGATCTATTTAATAATCTGAGTAGTGACCAGTCATGCTTATTTAGTATTTTTTTTGGTACTGCTTCAATGGTAGTCGGTGACCAACGATATGTTCATATATCACTTGTTCCCTCACGATACTGGAACCCATGTGTGTCATTGGTTTGGAATCAAGGTTTTTCAACTCTCCTAGGTAGATCCTTCATATTCACTAACCCGGTTAAAATGCCGGACATTGTAGCTACACTTTGCTAATGAATACCAGTTAAGATGATATCTAGATCAAACAGGGTTACCTGCCAACTACCTGCAACCATCTAAACGTATACTTCTTCGATCTTCCAAAAGTGATATATATATATATTAGGTTATATATTGTCGCCTGAATAACAAATCTATATTGTTGCTATGTAACTGTCATGTAACTAATTTCAGATTTAATTTGAACTATTTATTTTCTGTCTTTTCTTAGGTCAGATACTCCATTAATATACAAAGCTATTCCTACTTGGTTTATTCGTGTTGAACAAATGATTGATCGACTGTTGGCTAACAATGAAAAATGTCTATGGTATGTGTGTGTACACACTGATTCACCTTTGATTTTTCTATTAGAATGTGTTTAATGTCCATCCAAATTCTTTTTTTTTCTTCTGTGCAATTCAATATAGTCATTCTCTACATTTGTTTATTACTCTTTCAATATATGGTTTCTAGTTTTATTGAGAGATAAACTTTAAAGATGCTTGAAATTACAACAACCATGTTGCAACCTACTGTTAGCCAATCAAAATGTAGTGTGAATAACTTCTGAAAACAAACAAACAAACAATACTATAGATGTTATGTGTAAATCGGAAAAAAAACAGATTCATCCATATGGCTATATAACATCCATCTTCTCAAACGCTCATAAGGATGCTAATAGTGTCTTAGGTGTGTCACCACATTATTCCTAGTTAGAGTTTAGGTTTAGGATTATGGTTGATTCACGTGTTACATTCAATCTACATAGAAATAGTTGAGCATTTGATGCAATTAACATGCTCATTTTTATTTTATAATAATGGAAAACAATATTTCGTCATCATTTTAGACATTTTGAGGTGTATACAATGTTATTTCTGTTATCTATTTTATGTGATAGGAGATAAAGTCATTCGTTTTCTCAGCTTTGCGCAAAAACTCCAAAGTCCTCTTGATTCTGATTAAACTATCTCCATACTACATATGGGGCGGTGGCTTATTGGACATGGTGTCCGATTTTCGGCCACTACCAGCTTCAAACTCCGTTCTACCGACTATGATTTGGGCAGCTGAGTAGTATCCTTAACCTTTCACACTTAGAGTGTGACCTATATCTAAGTGTCTAGTGAATTATTTACGTTTACCGTCGTAAACACCTTTGTGTGCCATAGATACTCACCAAATTCAATCTTCTTCAATGTTTTCAGTAAATTTTCTAGGCGAGATTTATTTTCTTAGATTTTCTGATAACTAAAAAGAGAGGTAATCAATCATCTGTGTTCAGCGTTACAGCTGTTATCAACGATGGAATTATTTCATTCTATCATCAATCTGTATCAGTTTAAAGCACAATTCAACGGTTAAGATCGATGAATAGAATGCTGTTCAATCAGTTATGCAAAGTCATTCAATGTGATCAAATGTAATAACATACTCCAATAACTTATAACACATCCACCTTTAGATCAAAGACTCGGGGTCTATCCCCCTAAGAAAACCATCTGATTCGGTCTGGGCACCCAGGCATTATCATAGCCCTCACACAATTAAATGAAATGACATTTTTTGTGTGGTGTATGTATAACTGGTGCCCCCATGTACCAATATTTATGTGTTCAATTAATTAAGAAAAGTAGTGCCCCCACTAACGATAGTCTACACAACTGAACAACAAACAGTTAGGTCACACAGTTAATCACATAGCTCCAATCTTATTCTTTTCTGTATGTATTACTGTATAGTACAAGTTAAACTATGAGTACAATTTGCACAACAGCTAACTAATTGACACAGGATAGTTAACCATCAAACATTCAATCAATTGAGAAAGTCAATTATCAGCTATTTTCCTATCCTATTTCATTTAATTAAATCGAGCAAGAATTACCATATACGATTTGGAAGTTAGGAATCAATGGATTGAACTGATTAACCATGACTGCAAATGCTTTAATTGCCACTATTGTTATTATCATTATGTTCTTTGAAAAAGTGATCCACATTGTTTTATATTGAAAAAGCTTTCAACCAAACGGTAGTTAACCAAATTAATTGGAACCATTTAGTCAGTCATTTAAAATCAACATAAAGCTCCGTACAACTGTGCATCGATAAAAGCGTTGGAATATAAATTCATTGTAGCAAGAAAAAATTCAAATAGGTGTCGAGATAATAAGATCATATCAATGATTGTAACAATCAAAACACTGATTATAGTATGGTTTCTCTCTATCACGGGTTAAAACTGTAGTTTTCCGCCTTCAGTTTAGTCAACTCAAGATGGAAGGGATAGTTAAATAGCCTCTCACAAATAGTGTTACTCAAACCGATCACATAAATCCGTACACTTGGTAGATGGGCTAAAAACGTTATATATATTTGTTTATGTGAATTGAGTTACTCATTTATACACTATTTCAGGCAATTAAATCTTATTAAAAGAGGCCATAATCAAACGAACAGTATGTAGTGTCTTTGCATTGTTGCTAGAGGATCACTAAAATGCCATCACTCAAAAGTCTGTATAACTTGACGATATGTTTTTTTTACAAATGTCAAATTACTATTTTCCCATATTGCATAATTTATGCTTTCGATTTTCATACCATATTATAACAAAACAAGGGTACCGGATTTTGTACGTGAAGGTAGATTTGCTAATTGGTTACGTGATGCACGTGATTGGGCTGTGTCTAGAAATCGTTTCTGGGGTACACCAATACCAATATGGACAAGTGATGATATGGAAGAAGTGGTTTGTATTGGTTCTATTGAAGAATTGAAACTGTTATCTGGCGTAGAGGTTACAGATTTACACAAAGAGTTGTAAGTTTTGCTTGTGATACAAAGGAGTATATATATATATATATATTCTGTTCAATTAATCATTAGTTATAAAACTTTAACTCCGCCTGTAGCTCCTCTGGGGGTTATAGCAAATACATATATCTTTTAGCCGCTTAATAATTATATTTTGTATTATTGTCTCTTCTACTCTTTTCGAATATTTCATTAAAGTGTTGACCCAATCACTATTCCATCATCAACTGGACGAGGTGTTTTACATCGTGTTTCTGAAGTATTTGACTGTTGGTTTGAATCAGGATCCATGCCGTATGCTCAGGTTAGTGTGTGCGTGCGTATTAACCAAATAAATTCACGGTTGTAATAGTTTATTTCTTATATTCCACGTATAATTAACTGTAGGTCGGTGGTAACTTAGTGTTTTCAAAGGATTAAGCATTCAATGTCCAGGGTTTGAAGGTTCGAACTCTGCCTTACCACTTCAGTTTGTGCAGTCGATTAGTATCAGTAAAATGTTTAATTGTGAAGACCCAAGTGCACCAGCATGTATTTGGGGTATTGAAATGTATTAAATCCGAGTATAATTGGATCTAATTGAAGGGATATTGTGGAACTTGGTTTAATTTGGAGATATTTTTCATCACCGAATGATCTCTGACGATAACAGTGAAAATTAGATTGCAACGGACAACTGTTTCGTCCGAGTACGGGGCTCGTCATCATTGCGCACCCACAAACACGTCATAGATCGAACCCTGAACTTCATGCCTCACAGTGAATGCTTAAGTATTAGAACCTCTAAGCCCGATGTGCAGTTCCTACTTTAATCAATTTGAAACATATTTCCACGATCATGGAGTACCATTTGTAGTATATTTTTTCTCCTGATTTGTCTAAGCTTCACCATTCACGACTTTTCGTTTCCAGGAATGTCCTTACGTAAGACGCTAGTGAATTGTTTCTGTATTGGTCGAAACAACTAGCTAGTAACGTCTAACAATCAACAGAAACTCAACTGAGATCAACCTGTGATAAATGCAGCCTGCAGATTAAAATTAAATTATTAATATCAAAAGGGGTTTTTGTGGATATTATAATAGTTTTTTTAATAGTTGAGATCATGAGTCAGTTGAAGCTAGACCACCATGGGAAACCTGGAAGCACTGGACGGCCGTTTCGTCCTCTTGTGGGACTCCTCAGCAGTGCGCATCCACGATCCCGCCGCACGAGATTCGAACCCAGGACCTATCAGTCTCGCGGGCGAGCGCTTAACCTCTAGACCACTGAGCCGACATCCGACGATGTTAATGTCTAACTTCAACCGATCCACGGAATTTAGCGACACATCCACTATTGTCTTCAGTGAGTTACTATCTCACAATAGACCTGGTTGAGCTCCACTGGTCACTGCTTCTCCCTAGAACTTGAAGTCAGTCACTAGTGAGCATATGTTGATTAATATCAGCAGGGGTTTTTTGTGGATATTATAGTAATTTTTTTAATAGTTGATATCTTGAGTCATTTGAAGCTAGACCATTATAAAAAAATTGTAACTCATGATTCATTAGTAGGAAGAGTCGAATGCTTCAACTAATAAGCTAGCTCCTCTGTTCATACCCTCTCCTGCACATTAATAAACAATCGATTGATGCTATCCAATAATTTTTATCACAACACTATAATGTGAAATGAATATTCACTTTTAAATTTTTCGTATATGCTATATATTTCAAAATATTTACAGGCATTAGTTTTGTTCTCTTAAATTTGTGCACAGATACATTATCCATTTGAGAATACAAATGTGTTTCAAGAAGGTTTCCCAGCAGATTTCATCGCTGAAGGTATTGATCAAACACGTGGTTGGTTTTATACATTATTGGTATTATCCACTGCATTATTCGATCAACCGCCATTTCGTAATTTAATTGTTAATGGAATAGTTTTAGCCTCGTAAGTTATTTGATAATTTTTCGTATAGACACTTGTGGGTTTTTATGTGTGTGGGTGTTTTTATTTTAATAATGTTATGGTATTCATATGTATTGTTTCTTGTTTTGCGATGTAAAATTTTAAACCTAACAGCATGTATCAAAGTGACAATTTAGCATATTTAGTGAAATCGATTTTCACATCTACTGGTTAGGTGTCAAACTCGAACCCCACGCCATGCGCACTTCAACTTGAGCAGCTGAAGTGTATCACTAAATATCATGTTATAAAGTGTAACTCGAAAACAAATAGATGGATATGCACTTGGTAAACAAGTTACATTTCAATATGTACCATGCATATGTCTAAACATAATTTGATATACCCTAATTCCTAGAGTGGTTTAGACTAGTTATCGACACTTTTCAGCCTTGTCGATCGAATTCGGACAGCACTGGAGGACTAGGCAAACATAACATTAGTGGCAAATCAGTTGTAAGTGTTTATTAGTGTTCAGCACTTCTATACAATTTCCCCAATGATTCATTTATCCTATCCTCCGAGTTAGAATAGATTACTGGCTTGCTTAGTTGTTTCAAGCAATCGACCGTAAAGTAATAGGTCTCAATTTCGAATTTTATTCTCAGTAATTTAACTTGAATAATTACAAAATATATCACTGAAAGTCGTGAGTTCACTTGCCCATACTTGACTACTAAGCAGCATCCTTAGCAATCAGGCACTAATAATTTATTACCCTTTGCATATTTTCTTCTCTCCCTACATTCCGGATTCATAGTTTTGAAATTTTCCTAATAATTTCCTTTGTTACCATCCTACTATCGATGATAGAGTGGTAACTCAGTTGTTAAGGTATTTGACCTGTAGCCATTAAGTTGCATGTTCGAACCCTTTTCCATGTAATTCTATTCAATCGACTTAAGATAGTATCACTAGCCCTCATACTCAGATTATGACTCGAAGTCAAGTACACTAATATGTATTTGATAAGTAGTTTGTATTACATTAATAGTGTTAGTAATATTATTTCTAAATATCACTTTATATTATATATTTATGGTGTTAACAACAACAAACTCACTTGATGTTTTAGCGATGGACAGAAGATGAGTAAACGTGCTAAAAACTATCCAGATCCAGTTGAAGTTATAAATAAACACGGTGCAGATCCACTACGATTATATTTGATTAATTCACCGGTGGTTCGAGCACAAAATCTACGATTCAGTGAATCTGGTGTACATGAAATTGTAAAAGATGTATTTCTGCCATGGTGTAATGCATTACGATTTTTAATTGAGGTAAGTTGTTGAATTATTTTTCATTGTTGAAAATGTAACACTTAAATTATGATTGACTTGATTTTTTCATTCAGTAACTTCACAATCTTGCTTCAATTTGGGCGCCCAGGGCAATATCCCAGCCCTCACACAAATCAAATGATTTGTACGGTTCATATATATTTGGTGCCTCCTTGTACCAGTGTTTATGTGTTTTAATAAATAAGTAGATAAGCTTCAACATTACTCACTCGATAGTTTACTAGACACAAATACTGTTACCAAAGCATTTATCATCGAATACTTGTAGTATTCGCTTGTATCATCTACTTTTATTGATTACCTTTCATAATCTTATAACATTATAAACTTAACTGCTACTCGATATAGTTTCTCTTCGTTCAGGAACCTTACCTTCGTTATATGTTGTGCGAGTTGAAAAACGAGATTTTGTTAACCATCTAGTTAGTAGGGCTGACAATATTTTAAAAGTCATTAAAGTAGTCTACGTACTCAACTACTTGTCACCACTTGGTCAAAATAAGGATTGATTTTGATCTGTTCCTAAACAATTTTACATCTATAAGAGGGGGAAACACATCCTGTACATCGTTAAATTTGTTTCTGAGGATAATAAAAAGACTGCGTTTTATTACTGTTTTCCCCAGATATGAATATGTCATCTACAATCTCCAAGTCGATCAGTGAATCTGTGAGAGATTGAATAAAGAAAAAGCCATTTCTAAAAAGAGGTCTTTGATAAAATTCAATAAAAATGTATATAGTGAATAGTCTTTATGTATAGTACTTTTGGTCAGTCCTCCATGAGCTCTGACTTTATAGATGCTGTTTGAGCGAACAGTCTTTCACTACGCCATACAATAACAAGCATTACCATAAAACCTGTTCATCAACGGGGTTGAATGTGGTCTTTCAAGTCAAGGAACAAAACTACAGTTACATTTCTATAAGTAACTAGAAGAGTAGTGAATATTCAATCCAGACATTATGTTATTCTATAACTAGCCTGACATGTTTTTGATTACGGGTTCTTAGCTCCCTTTTGGCGTCGGGTTACTATGGAAGCTGACATATCAGTCAACCAGTTAGTAACTGTGAAATTTAGATATGTAAATTCTTTAGGATGTATTCAACCAATTACATATCATATATTTGTGTAGTATAATTCGTTTTTTCATGGAATTTAAAAGGAGTCTTTCAAAGTTAAAACAAGTAACCTTAGTTGATTGGGTTTACCTTTAACTAACCAAATCAGTTCGTACCCATATTTGACAGTTATTCAAACTCTTGAAGAGATTCGACATACTCGATTAGATTGTAATCGAAAGCAACATTACTTCGTACCAACAGCATCACTTCATATAAACTCCCCTACTTCTACTTCTAAGTAACCCTAAGTGTTTTGATGTTGGTTTATTCTCTGAGCTGGATGGTTTGGTCGTGGAGCTTTCATTGTCCTTCTGAACGACATCATTAGCACAAACAAAAACTAGGTGTATACGACAAAAATTGGTTATATTAGTTTTTAGAACGATATTATTGAAGCCTGTCAGAGACATTAAATCTACTAAATCCGCACACCCTAATCTCAAATTTACTAGTATCGTGTTTTTATTTAATACTAGTATTCCTGAAGATACAATAAGTTGACGCGTAATAGTCTTATTTGCTTAGATCAATATCATAAATTACAGTCTATCATCATCATCATCATCATCATCATCATCATCATCATCATCATCATCATCATCATCATCATCATCATCATCATCATCATCATCATCATCATCATCATCATCATCATCATCATCATCATCATCATCATCATCATCATCATCATCATCATCATCATCATCATCATCATCATCATCATCATCATCATCATCATCATCATCATCATCATCATCATCATCATCATCATCATCATCATCATCATCATCATCATCATCATCATCATCATCATCATCATCATCATCATCATCATCATCATCATCATCATCATCATCATCATCATCATCATCATCATCATCATCATCATCATCATCATCATCATCATCATCATCATCATCATCATCATCATCATCATCATCATCATCATCATCATCATCATCATCATCATCATCATCATCATCATCATCATCATCATCATCATCATCATCATCATCATCATCATCATCATCATCATCATCATCATCATCATCATCATCATCATCATCATCATCATCATCATCATCATCATCATCATCATCATCATCATCATCATCATCATCATCATCATCATCATCATCATCATCATCATCATCATCATCATCATCATCATCATCATCATCATCATCATCATCATCATCATCATCATCATCATCATCATCATCATCATCATCATCATCATCATCATCATCATCATCATCATCATCATCATCATCATCATCATCATCATCATCATCATCATCATCATCATCATCATCATCATCATCATCATCATCATCATCATCATCATCATCATCATCATCATCATCATCATCATCATCATCATCATCATCATCATCATCATCATCATCATCATCATCATCATCATCATCATCATCATCATCATCATCATCATCATCATCATCATCATCATCATCATCATCATCATCATCATCATCATCATCATCATCATCATCATCATCATCATCATCATCATCATCATCATCATCATCATCATCATCATCATCATCATCATCATCATCATCATCATCATCATCATCATCATCATCATCATCCTGGGTCTGTGTTTATAATATATCTAATTGTTCACTGATTAAAAACTGAACCTTTACAACTTTACATTTTCTTAATTTAGTCATCAATCTTTCCATATCAAAAAACGACTCATCAATTATTCATTGTAAAATCAGATGAGTTTCCTTCGACAAATAATTTTATGGATCGTTGGATTTTATCATTTACTCAAAGTCTAATACTGTTTGTACATGAAGAGCTTTCAGGTAAGTGGAATATTGTCTATGCCATTTCCTTATTAATTATTCTAAATATCCCTCGAATTCCTTGGAAGTCAGTTTCAATGTTTTATTTGCGTATAACAATGATAATTTTTTCAAGAAAACTGGAAATTCAGTGGATTTTTTCCAGTTTATCCTATTTATTTATTTATTTATTTATTTAAACACATAAATATTGGTACAAGGAAGCACCAGATATATATGCGCCTCACAAATCTCATTCGATTTGTGTGAGGGCTGTGATACTGCCCAGGTGCCCAGACTGAAGCAGGTGGTTTTCTTAGGGGCCCACACCCGGAGCCTTTGACCTGAATGTCTGATCCACAAGGCAGTGGAACATCGTGAGGAGATGCAGTCCCATGGTAGCCGGTGATCAACGGTTGATCCGTACGCCATTTGTTCCCTCAGGATCCTGGAGCCCATGTGCACCATTGGTTTGGAATCAGGGTTTTCCAACTCCCCTAGGTGGACCCTCCATGTCCACCAACCCGGTTAAAGCGCCGGACATTCGCTTTTCGTGCTCTCACTTTCGTAAACAACACCCCCGCCACGAGAAGGCAGTGAGTAGGACTTCCCTGACAGAGGCTATATATTCGCTGGCCATATGAGAGCATTTCGAGAGGGAGAGGTGACTCTTCCCACTCTCGGCCGTACCAAGGCATTTGGTCGTTTTCTGCTTTTCGTTAAGTATCATCCACTTGGGAAAGGATTTCTCAGTCCAAATTGTTTTACTAGAATCGTGTATACAGATAATTTTTCAACAATTCTTTTCACTTGCTATCATTTATCGGAAAGCACACGAGACCTCTCAACACAGGATGTCAACGGTCTTCCATATCTAATAACTATGTAGCTTAGTTTGAATATTTTTGGACAAAAGATGTATATATGTGTCTGTTTTGTCACGTTTTAAAATTTGTCAGCTGTATAAACTTTGTAATTATTTCACAATTCAACTCAATTCATTGTATCATATTTGTTGATACTACATTAAACTACTAATTTGGAATTGAGTAGCATATACTTTCTAAGTTATTGTAGAGCGGTGGTTTATCAGTTTAAACAATTGACTTCCAACCACTTTTTTAAAAGTCATTCCTTAACATACTTTACCACATTCCAGTTCAAGTACCCGGTAGTACCATCAATAAAGCTTGTTCAAAAATTTGTCTTCAAATCGAGTACATAAACATGTACTTGGTAAATGTATTTACCTATGGATACATAATGCTTTATTTGATTATAAACATACAGTCAAATATTATTAATTCCTGTCTTATTCAAACTGACCGCAAATTTGTAATTATGACTTCTGGTCTTTGAAACAAAGCAACTTTCCTGACAATTACTTAACTTGTGCGCTTCTTTATTTCTTGAAAATTAATTTAAACCACCAAAATTCACTAAACTGACTAGCCTCAAAATCGATTGTTATAAAACTCTAGTCAGAAAATAGCTTTGACCTATGCAGTCGATCAAGTTGTGAGTAAGAGGGTCATCCGATTATTATCACTGGGTTATAATGACCGTCTTATGTCATGACCTTCGTATGGTCAACAAATCTATGCTAGTGGATCCTTAATCGGTGAATAAACGATATACGTGTTTAGCTAAAGAATGTTTGTGGAGATTGGTTGAATTTACGGGTTGTTTACGTCACGGATGGATCCTAATTGGTATACTGTTAGAAACTAGGAACCACTGAATAACTGCTTCTTCCCAATATAGGATCCTTCCGTTATGTTCGGTATAAATCAGTTGTCATTACTGGCATTGGATAATCGTCAACTTATATCCCAAATCGATAGAAGTTGGAATTGTACCATTGGATGGTGACTTAGTGGTTCTTATGGTGTTAATCGTTCGTCGATAGGCCTAAAAGGTCATAGTGTTAGACCACCGATGACGTCATGAATACTTACTCCTTGGTAGACTTGTATTGGAACAAAAGAGCTGTCTTATACTCCATGGTATTTTTTGTTATCACAATTTGTGCTAAATACACCCCACAGGATCTGAAAGTTTCGATTATTTATGTGTATATACCCGCATGCTGTGAAATCGTTTGAATATTATATTGTATTTTTAAAATTTTTCTTAAAATAGGTTATCGTTTGTACACAGTGGTACCGCGTTTAGTAAAATTTATTGATCACCTTGTTAATTGGTATGTACGAATGAATCGTAAACGTTTAAAAGTAAGTGATTAGTTTGCATATCTGTAAATAATTACTGCATTTCCTCTAATTAATTACTATTTATTCTGTAAATACGTTCACTTATTTATATTTTTTTGAGTCACAGAAATATGGTAAAACTCTGTTAATGAATAATTTTATGTAGTTAAGATCATGAGTCAATTGAAGCTAGACCACCATGGAAAACCTGGAAGCACTGGACGGCCGTTTTGTCCTATTGTGGGACTACAAATATATATGCAACACACAAAGCATTCAATTAATATGAGGTCTGGATTACTGCCCAGTTGCCCAAACCGAAATAGGTTATTTTCTTAGGGAGCTACTCTCTGGGCCTTTGACCTAGAGGTCTAATCCACAAGGGAGTTAGATTCAGTCTCATGGTATCTGGTGACCAACATCGACTTCATATTCCATTTGTTACATCGGGATCCTGGAACCCATGTGAACCATTGATTTAGAATCAGGGTTTTCCAATTTCCTTAGGTGGATCCATTCGTAACCACCAACCCGTGTAAAGAGCCGGACATTCGTCTTTCCTCCTCTCAATTTCATAAACTTTACTCTCACCGCGAGAAACCAGTGTGTGGGACTCCTATGACAGTGGCTGTATACGTATGGCCATGTGAGAGCATTTTGAGAGAGAGCTGACTCTCCCCACCCTCGATCCTACCTTGGAATTCGCGGGTTATGATTATGTTTTCTATTCAGTTATTTTATCCTTAACAACATTCGTTGGTACGGAAGTGAGTCGAAAGATTTCATTCCCCTTATTTAAGTACTATATTACACTCAATCGTCTATAGTATCTCTCCCAAGAAATTCTTAGTTACTACTCTTTTGTAACGAGAGTGTCTCTGCTAAAGTTTAATAAAGCAAAAGTGGATGTCTGCCACTTAAACTGAGTTACTGAATATGATAAGAGTTAAAGCATCCTGATATTTCAAACTGCTGAGGCACAATGACTTCAGGATACTAATATAAAGTGAATGACATATGAATCTAGTTAAACCATCAATTACCAAGAGAATGCATTATTTAACATCGCGACCGGGGATCAATTATTAAAAGATCTAACTTCTATCTACTGAATCTGAATTCTACATTCTATTTCATTTACTTCAGTTAAGGCAGTCATTCAGTAGTACTGGTTCTCACATAAAGTATATTGCTCAAAATCGAATACGAAAATGTTTACTCGGCTAAATGATGGTAATTGACAATAACTTTTCGAAACCATATAATATTAAGCGTCATAGGGCTATTAACTTTATTTTAAAAAGATACTCTTCGTTCTTAATTTGTCTTTCTTACTTTAATTTTTTTAAAAATCGTTTTTATTATTGTCATAATACAGGGAGATGTTGTTGAAAATCAAGATGATTGGAAAGCAGCTTTGCACACCCTATTGAAAGTGATTTATCAGATTACATGTTTAATGTCACCTTTCACTCCATTTATAACTGAATTTATCTATCAACATATCAAGGGTTATCTTGATTATACTGATAATTTGAAAGGTTAGAGGCACTAAGTTTCCTTTTTTTATCACTTGATTTTTCGTTATTGTTCATTAGTTACCGTTTCTATCTATGCATTATTGTATGCTCACTAGTGACTAACATCGAAAGGAAATTTCCGGAGTTTTACTGAGAAGCTGTGACCAGTGGAGTTCAACTGTGTCGGATGCGAGGCAGTTATCACCAAAGACTATAAAAGATGTTAGCGCAATAAAGTGGATTTATTGCAGTTAGATATTAACGAAATTGAATGTGGTGTTTTCGATCCTGGCGTTCGGGATGACGGCTGTTCAGTGCTGGATAAGTCCCACACTGGGATGAAATGACCGTGTAGTGCTTAGAGGTTTTCAATGATTACCTAACTTAGATCGGTCCATGGTTTTAATGAACTAAATCTTTCCTTTTAGGTTAAAAAAGCTCTCTTGTCAATGAAAAAGTCATAGTATTTCTATCACCTACAATGTGTTGTTGCCTCCCAAACACGTTCCACTCTCAATATTCTCCAAAGCTTATGTTTATCATATAGCTAACTTGGCCACTACCATACTAATTTTGAACTTCAAATAATTCTCCACAACTGGTCAGCATGTTTATTACAGTTCCTGAAGTGCTAGATCACTTGTATTTATAGTGTCTCCACAGCAAACCACTGCTTTTTTTGTTCAAATCTCATGGTTTCCGGGCATTTTTATGGTTTATAAATGTTAAAAGCATTAGTAAAGTGTCATAACCCGTAAAGTTCGATTTGGATACACACTGTCCCCATAAGCTACTCACCCACTCAGCTATGCAAGTGAAAAAACTAGATTAATAGGAATTTGTAATTACTTGACCAAAATATATTATACACAAATCCTTTTGATAAAGACTTATACACCGAGGCTAGGTGCATGATTAAATTCCTTCAATAAGCGTATCTTACCTGTATTTTCTCATTCGACTTTAAGACCTATCTTTGAGCACGGACATGTGATGTGTCTAGACTCTCCCAGCCTATGATAAATTCCGTATCTTTGACTTTTAGTGATCAACGTCATTAACTACTTCCAACATCATTATCCGAAATAACGAGTACAAAAATGAAAAATTTCAATTTCTTTCTGTAGATCGTAGTTCTCTTCTTCCCGGTTATTCATCTGAAACTGGTGCACCCGATTCCATTCATTACATTCAAGCCCCTGAACCAAAATTAGAATTGATCTCACATGAAATAGAAGATATTGTCTATTGGATGCAATCTGCCGTGGAATTAGGTCGTATAATACGTACTCGTTGTAATCTTCCATTAAAAGCACCATTACGTGAAGCTATTGTTATTCATTCAGATCCGAATATTTTGAAAAATATCAAATCTGCACAAACATATATTATTGAAGTAAGTAAGCTAAGATTATCATAAATGAATATTGGTTGTTTTTTAAGTTATCGTTCTAATTAATATCAATAGCCTCCTTCACATTGCACAGTTCTTAATGAACTAGTTACCTTAAAGAAATAACAACTAAACAAATATGATTTGTACGTTCATCAATGTTTGTAAACAATTTTCCTTTATCTGTCTACCCACTTTCGTGCCGATGACAACTTGTCTAGTGTAGATTAAGACCTTGGCGGGATAAGCTGACTGACTTAACCTTGAGGCTAGTATGCGTGAGTTCGAAGTGGAGTAAAGAGACGAAAACTATTCTATCACCTGATTAGCTGACAGGCACGCGCAAGACAGACGACGAGACAACTGGAACCCTACGTGATTTATTCCCGATTCCGATCTGGTACCCGATTTCAGATTAGTTTTATAAGATACATGAATAAATAGATGACTAATCCGACCACAACGTAGAACAATTAGGAACATAAAATTATGTCCAAAACTGGGGGATTAGAGTAGAAAATAGAGTACAAAAAGTTACGTCTAATTACAATAGCTTTGGGACTGAAAAGGCTATGACAGTAAATCATGCATCAAACGATGGTTTATGATCTGTAGAATAGACTAGGGACAAAAGTATATGTTACTGTTTTACAAGCTTTGAATTAAATGAAATAACGTCCCCAAAATAAGCTTTCGTAGATTGTCAAGGCTTCTTGTTTCTGTTCACATCAATATGGTGTTAGATAAATTGTTAGATAAGATTGTATCATAAAATGTACGTTGTTTGACTGATCTACTTCAAGATATAACCATTTGATAATCCTATTAAAATTACTATAAATCTCTGTACGGAATCAATGAGTTCATTATGTCGATAGATAGAGTTTGATTAACATTGAGAAACTAGGCAAACATAATATTACCCACTACTCAATTACCAATCAATGCAATATATCGAATCTACGGGGGGCTTAATGGTAACATCTCAAAGTGCAAGATTGGTTGACCGGGATTCGAATCCTTCAGGTGACATTAGTTTTCTTCAAGATTACGAGTTTGTCTTGGTGATGAGTACCAAACTAACACGAAACCTGGGTCAATGAGTGTATCCTGCCGATTATTTCCAATTACCAAAAATCTCAATATAGTATCTATGATGTTTAGCCACCTAAACTAATAGATATATTACAACTTGATCGATAGTTTGTTTCAGTATTAAGGACTAGACAAACATGATATTAGCCAATACTCAGTAAAGATCAATGTGAATATTCATTATCTAACCCAATCCTGGCACTAGTTTGATAATTAACTTCAAACGAACGAAAAAAGTTCTCATTGATCTATAATTTACACAAAACTCGCATTATAAAACGATTGAACATCTTAGTTATTTTTGTTTTCCCGTTCTCACTAACCCAATACACATTTTAAATACTTTATAACAATATCCATTGAGAAAAGTGTATGTGTATTATTGTGCTTATTTGGTTTTAGTGAGAGCTGAGTTCTTGCGTTTATTCTACCATATTTGGTTGTATTTTGAACTTATTATCTTTGTGTGCTTACATTTCCGTGTTGATATTCATGCTGAGACTCGAACTTACTAGTTACTTTTCAAACAGTAATGCGTATTGATTTCACCGTTGGTCACAATTAAAATATACCATGACCTGTAACAAAACTGATATATTAAGCCATCAACTTATGATTCCACCTAAGCCAATAATGACTGTTATACATTCAATCTTGTATATTGACAATGAGATAATTACTAACTTCTTGTACAAATAAATTATTTCACACAATTAGTCCATCTGATAAATTCCGAAAATGCAATGAGAAGACGAAGGTTCTCAAAAGGTCATCATAATCCTGATAACCTTCGTATTGTCGTTTCATTATCAAAATAGATTATTGGACATTGTATCACAGAGAACCAATCGGTATTTATATTCTTTTGTAAATAATTTTCTGAAGCATTATGTTTATTGTCTTTAAAATTTATTATTATTATTACTTATGAAGGAGTTGAACGTTCGTGTTCTCACTACAACTAGTGATAAACATCGTTATGGTGTTCAACTTCGTGGTATATTAAATCATAAAACACTGGGTGTACGACTTAAAAATGATTATAAATCTGTTGTGAACATGGTGAAAGACATGTCAACTGAAGAATTAGAACAATTTGTCAGTGTAAGTTTCTATATGAGTAGTATATACATATATGCATATATATATATATATATAACAATGTGAAATGCCATACTTCTAATTCTTACTTGTTAAAGTTAGATATTCTTTAGTGTTGAAATCCAAAAAGTGCATTCCATCTTATTCAGCACTCGTCGGCTGGATGTAACTGCGCTCTAGTATGGATGTTCATATTGAAATTCCAACCAAGTACCATTCGCTTTGATTGCATGTCCAGGATTCTACTGCTAATGGTTGTCTGTCTTTACTCAATAGCATTTCATACAGGGTGAAAAAGGGGGCTAATGATTAATTACATTCCTTAATACTAAGAAGGGGTAAAACACAAATCTACACCAATCTGATTACTTTGTTAATACTTGACATGAGTCGAGTAAGAACACTAAAATTTATAGGATAAAAAATGAATATATCATTCTGTTTCAAGACTTTCTTGTCAACTGTCAAATCAGCGTAGAATGTGTTATATAACGAATAAATGTGGCTAGAAACGAAAAAAAAAAATTAATATACTGTAATGATGGAAGTTGATACAAAAGTTTAAAACAACACTGCAACTCAAAGGAAAAACTATACCAACATAGAACAAAAGAGGTGACATTATGAAATTGAGGTCGATACATATTTATAGGTCAGTTAAGTCAGTCCTAATCAACATAGTGCTTGTGAATAGTGTGCATTTGCACAAATCACAGTATCACATTAGCATGACACGATAAAATTAGTAAACTGAGTAGAAAAGTGATAAGTATTTTGACTGAACCCTTGAATCTGTTTTCTAAGCTCTTCTAATAACCTCAGGCTAAATTTAAACAACGACTTAAACACGAGAAAAAGCGCGAAATATGGAAAGAACTCTTTAATCCAAGGTTAGTTGATGTAATGAAAATTGAGTGTATGTATAAAATTGTAGATGACCTTGGGCTACTGGAAGTTTCTGGAACCTCACTGAACATAGCGACATGTGACTACTCATTTTCCAGTTGTTTCTGAGAAAATTCTCAATGCTGATTGGATAATGTGTTTCTCAGAGTTTTCAGGGCCCCTTTGAGTTTTTTCTCGAGGAATATTCTGGGTCTCCTCAACTAGAAGTTGAAATAATTCTATTATAGTAATGATAATGAAGATAACTAAGTACTAAAATTTACTTCGAAAATATATAGTGAAGAGGTATATGCGAAGAAATACTGAAGTTCAAGATCTAAATAAACCTGCTTAATTTTTGATCGATTTTAATTTATTTCACTCTCATGTCTTTGAACTATTTGCCTATTAATTTACAGGAGAGAATGCGTTTCAAACTAGTCTAAAGATGTGATGCAATAGGCCATTTAATCCAACCATAAGGCTTGCAATGAATAAGTCCAATTTGTGATTGAACAAAGACAAAAACTATGTTTCTCACCTGATAGGCTGAAGTGTGAAAGAGAGAGAAGACTAACTTGCTAGAACACTACTCTATTTATTCCCAAGTGAGGATAAGCTCCACTCTCGTTCTCAATTTCGACCATGCACCTAGCGACCAACCAATATGAAGCGGGAATTATTATTTACCCTATCGTAATCCATGATAGAGGACATGTTTCGTTATCTGTTGTTTTTGCTGGCTTACATGAAAAATGTAAAGTTTTTCTACAACGAAAAAACCACTCCATAATGCCACGGATGTATCAAGGGTAGGGTAGTCAGTCATGATGGAAGAAAAACTATAACACATTAAAAGATATACCTCCAATTAATTCTATACTAGAAATTATTCCGAAAAGCCTACAATTGAGTAACTAAAATGAAAACATAACCATAATTACTGACTACGACACACTTTGATGACTTTAAAACTTTCAGTTTATCTATCTCCAGTTAAAAAGGAGTATAGCAGTGAGTTAGACATCGAACAGGTACAAAACTAAATACTATTATTTTACAGAATTTCAATTAATTGAAACAATGTTCTCCAAAATAACTTCCATTGTTCGTCATTGCTTCTTTATTTCTCTTTTCACACCATTCACTCGTTCCTATTCAATGATTTCTGCTATTACGGTGGCTCTAGCCAGGCAGCTGGCATCTAACCAACATTGTTCAGTTGAACAATCAATAACTTCACACACTGACGCCATGTTCATTTCGTAATAGGAGTCACTTTTTATAAATGTTCATAATTTTCACATGATCACTTCAGCGTATATTCTTACTCCCATCAAATAGATTTCATTCTTAAGTTGTTATTGTTACCGATTATGACAATTTTTTGTTCTCTTCTCTCCCCTTTTTTTCGTCACACCATAGACTGGTCGTCTAGTTGTTTGTGGGCATGAATTATCCGGTGACGACTTATCAGTAGTATATTCGACTGGTGTTAGTAGTAGCAGTGGGTGTAGTGACACACAGTCATCTAAATCTAGATCAAAACTTAAATCTGAACAACCACCGTCATCATCCTCCACATTGAACGGGAATCATCAAATAGACTCATCCAAATATGAAACAGCTTCAGATGCTAAAGGTCTATTGGTAATATTAGATACAACTCCAGATGTCGAACTGGAAAATGAACGTTTAGCTAGAGAACTTGTTAATCGTATACAACGAACACGTAAAAAGGTGAGTAGCGTTGTTCAATGTATTTGATAGTAATTTCCTGTCTCTCTCTGTTTTCTCATTATCTGATAACTTTTGTCTTACTGATTTAATTGTACCATACTCTGCTGTAGCTAAGTGTGATGGTAATGTATTCGACTTCACATTTTTTTCTAGTCAACTGCCGAAACAGATATAAGCGTCGAGCTGGATTCAATCGTAGCACCTAAGTCAGCAACACAACCACAGGAAAAAATAAACTATCTAACTGCGCTCCAGCCCTGCTAACTAGTGGGAAAAGACTAGATTCAACCTGAAAAACTATATATTCCATAAGCAGTCGGAAGCATGAACGAACAAGCACACATCTCATGAGTATATATGCAATACAAAAAAAGTTCTTGGGGAGCGTCACAAAATATTGTACCAAAAAGGGATACAAAGTGAAGGTCAAAATAAGCGCTTTTGACGCGAAATTGACAAATTCAAATTTCAAAATATATAAAATTACAAAAACGAAACGTCGTTTATCTCGTGATTTCTGGAGATCCAGCATCCCTAACAATTTTTTTCTCTTTGCCTTAAATCCTTTATTAAATAATTGAGCTATTTAGTAAGTAAAGATGGTTAGTGGCTAGTAATGAATATGAACTACATAGTGTTTTTTTTTTGAAGTACACTTATTTCCCCTTTCTTTTATTTTTCCACATTTCTAGGCTGAATTGCTTCCTGAAAATCCAATTGTTATATTAGCAATTACGGATTTAGACTGTTATTACAATATTGCTGGACCAAATGGCAACTATTTAAATTTTATTCAATCAACTATTAAACAACCATTCAGTGTTATAAAACAATCATCAATAAATAATATTGTAGATATTAGACAATGTGCTAAATCTATTCTACCTGATGGTTGGGAATTAACTACTGAAGTGATACGTGATACAGTTTCAGTAAGCAATAATAATGACTATTTGTTGATATTAAATAATGAAGGAAATTTTATTTGGATTGGTTGTATGGGTCTGTTGTTTTTTTCGTATATGTGCCTCCTGTTCGCCTTGCCTTGAATTGGTTATTAATTCGCGAGTATTTATGCAGAGTTATATGGTTGTTAACTGTAGAAACAACGAGAAGATTTAAGTAACCATTATAGATGAACTAAAATTCACTGCGTTGCATAAGCGAATGGCTATCTGAATTTACTATCTCATTGGATAACGTGATGGCCGTTCTTAATGAAATATACTGGGTTCGGTTAACGGTGTGAACATCCATATGACGTGTACCAAATATGATGAAAGGCACGTCATGGATCCACTGTGTTAGCCGTTGTCCACACCCTAAATACATTGATTTGTTTACATCATTATGAGTCATACCTTTAAAATATATGATAATCATACCGTTCTGCTACAGGAAATGTAGCCTGGGTCCTACAATAACTTCAGTTCCATGAACATCAATAAAGTTGATTGGTATTTAGTCAATGCAAAATAAAGTTAAATATCTATCACCATGTTTGTCTTCCATAACTTGGGGCCAATTGAAAAATTTGTTGATACAACCTCATGTATACGTAATATATATCTGAGTTTTGATGTGAGGAACAACTGATTACTTACTAGCACCAGATTTTCCACCAGGCACTTTTTCACTTAGAACCTACTAATTGAAAGTCAAATACTCTCCTATTTAAGACACTAAGCAAACGAATTACGTCCATATCGTTGAAATAATTAACAGTCTAGATGACAATGTTCTGTCACTTTCTATCATTTGTCGACTATAATTTTAACACTTAAGTTTTTTCCATTAATTTTACGTTTACTGTCCCCTGCCCCTACTTAGTTATTGTATAGAAGTAGTCATTTTTAAAAACATATTTCCACGTTCGATTGTGTAACTTGGAAAATAGCATTTTACTGTAGTTTGTTAATTGTCTTTCTACTATTAGTGCTTCTACATTGCCTTGTTAATTTCATCTTGATATGATAATATAGTATGTTACCTTGAATTAACTCTCCTATATGCCGCAGGTTCTATAGTGATTATTTATGACTGACTTAATAATCCCTCGACCAGTTAGTACTGTTTAATCAACATGAAAATGACCGTTTTTACTGATGATGGTCACAAATAAATAATATTTCCATGAAATGTCGTAAAAAGACATTTTGCCTTTTCTCTTTTGAATGTTGCAGTCCACTACAGCAGAGGCTGCTGCTACACTGAGTGTGTTCACCTACATATGTTGCTGTGTGTTTTATAAGATGGGTTAGGTCATCTCCAAAATCGAAATAATCTAACTTCATCCTAGCTGTTCACTGTATTCCATGCTTCTCCTGAGATATGTAGGTTTTTATATTCCTCCAGTCACCCACCATAAGAAAGTTCGAAGCAGAACTGAGCAGCCTTGTGTGATACTGACCTTCACTTGCAATGGATCTGTGATCTAGCTGCCTCCTATGCATATCCGTCATATGAACACTGTATGATGTTGAAGATCTCAAACACGGCATAGCATCGAAGTAGGTTCAACAAAGTTCACTTATTCTTTCTGCCCAACGCTTTCTCATAGTCAAAGATGTTGATTTATAATGACGTTTTCCATTCAATGGATTATTGTTTATTTATTTATTTAAACACATAAATATTAGTACAAAAAAGCACCAGATAAATATGCGCCTCACAAATCTCATTCGATTTGCTCGAGGGCTGTGATACTGCCCAGGTGCCCAAACTGAAGCAGGTGGTTTTCTTAGGGGTCCACACCCGGAGCCTTTGACCTGAAGGTCTGATCTGCAAGGCAGTGGAGCATCGTGAGGAGATGCAGTCCCATGGTAGCCGGTGACCAACAGTTGGTTCATACGCCATTCGTTCCTTTGGGATACTGGAGCCCATGTGCATCATTGGTTTGGAATGAGGGTTTCACAACTCCCCTAGCTGGACCCTCCATGTCCACCAACCGGGGTAAAGCGCCGGACATTCGCTTTTCATCCTCTCACTTTCGTAAACAACAGTAATGCCACGAGAAGGCAGTGAGTAGGACTTCCCTGGCGGAGGCTATATATTCGCTGGCCATGTGCGAGCATTTCGAGAGGGAGAGCGGACTTTCCCCACTCTCGGCCGTACTAGTGCATTTGAACTACCCCCAAATTCAAAGGATTATGTGATAACAAACTTATTCTATGCTCTGTCATATTATTTTCAATTATCAATATCCTTTTACTGATAATGAACTTTTCAGTAGCTGTTATTTCTTTTCACATATATACTTTGATTCATTTAGATTCCACCGGATAACATTGATCTAATTATCTTTTCAAGAATACCAACTCATGAAGTTAATAATCAAATTAAAATTAATATAAAGATTAATACAGTTGAAACAAAACACCGACCAATATTTGTTAATGTTATAAATTATACTAACAATACACAAAGTATTAAAGTACAATTATGTGATTCGAATAATCAATGGTTTGTCCATAGCGTAGATGATTTATTACGAAAGGTAATTCATTATACGTTTAGTGTTGTTTGTATCATGCAATTTTCTTTATTTATTTAAACACATAAATATTGGTTCATATGGGCACCAGATATATATGCACCACACAAATCTCACTTCATTTGTGTCAGGGTTGTGATACTGCCTGGGTGCCCTAACCGAAGCAGGTGGTTTTTCTTAGGGGGCCACATACCGAGCGTTTGACCTAAAGGTCTAACCCACAAGGCAGTGGAGCATCGCAAGGAGATGCAATTCTATGGTAGCCGATGACCGACGTTTGTTTCATATGCCATTTGTTCCCTCAGGATACTGGAGCCCATGTGCATTATTGGTTTGGAATCAGGGTTTTCCAACTCACCGTGTCCACCAACCCGGTTAAGCACCGCACTTTCACTTTTCGTGCTGTCAGTTTCGTAAACAACACCTCTGTGCTAGAAAGCAGTGATTAGGACTTCCCTGGCAGAGACTATATGCGCGTGGCCATGTGAAAGCAATTCGAGAGTGAGAGCTGACTTTCCCGACTCTAGGCCGTACCAGTGCATTTGGGTTCAAGGGTAATAGAGCGTTCTAAGATTCGAACCTGGATTCTCCTGATCCGTATTCATCTTTATGAATTTAATAAAGCCAGAACAAATATTGATGCAGAATAATATTAATTCATTATATTTCATGATTTCTCATCTACTGCTTGCAACCAAATATGTATTACAAATTTTAACATTGAGATAATAAATAGTGTGGAACAATTGACATAAGTAAAATGTGAAGGACTGGAAAGACTAAAGGTTATCAATGATAATTAAAGATTTGAAGTCCTCATATAATATTACACAACAGGTACTTTGTATTAGTCTACTCTTGAAAGAAATAAATTCACATAATCGAGCAATAATTATCTAAATATTCTGAACATAAGCAGAGATAGGTAGTGGCTAGCAGTGGAATCCAAGACACGCATTTCGTCCTATTTGGAACTCGAAAGCTGGGTGTATCTGCATTTATTTATTATTTATTTAAACACATATATAATGGTACAAAAGGGCACCAGGTACATATGCGCCACACAAAATAATTTGTGTGTGGGCTGTGATACTGCCCGGGTGCCCAAACCGAAGCAGGTGGTTTTCTTAGGGGGCCACGCCCCGAGCCTTTGACCTAAAGGTCTGATCCACAAGGCAGTGGAGCATCGTCAGGAGATGCAGTCCCATGGTAGCCGTTGACCAATGACAGGTTCGTCCGCCATTCGTTCCATCAGGATACTGGAGCCCATGTGCACCATTGGTTTGGAATCAAGGTTTTCCAACTCCCCTAGGTGGACCCTCCGTGTCCACCAACCCGGTTAAAGCGCCGGACATTCGCTTCTCGTCCTCTCACTTTCGTAAACAACAGTAATGCCAAGAGAAGGCAGTGAGTAGGACTTCCCTGGCGGAGGCTATATATTCGCTGGCCATATGAGAGCATTTCGAGAGGGAGAGTAGACTCTCCCCACTCTCGGCCTTACCAGGGCATTTGGAGGCATCTACATCTCATAGTTGGTATTCATTTTGGGACTCTAACCCAGTACCTTTCGCTTCAAACGCCATCGCGTTATCCACTCGGCTACGAAACTCACGTCCTGGATTTCACTGCTAGCCACTATTTATCATTGTCTATAATGCTTGTGAATTAAGGCTATATCGAGGCAATACACACAGTATGCATATTTATTTATTTATTTATTTAAACACATATATATTGGTACAAAAGGGCACCAGGTACATATGCGCCACACAAAATAATGAAAGTAGGAAGAGAAGGGATGAAAAGATATGGCGGACTAAAATGTACAACCAGAAGACTCTTTCAAATAGGAAAGTAAGAACCATACTTTATGTAGAAAGTAAAAGAAGGTTGCAGCAGGATCGCCACTGGTTTCTATTCTGAGCCATATCTGATAACGTCTCTAGCCACTGTGTTGCACCATCTCTCGGACCCCAACCAAGGAGTCGTGAAGGACCAACAGAAGCTAGCCCTTTGCAGCTCTCTTTCATGCCACGACACCATGTCATACACTGACCTCTCCGCTTTTTCCAACCAGTCCCAGGGTCGGCAAATAATGCACGACGTGGAAGTCTCTGGGACGACATTCGTAAAACATGTCCAAGCCACCGATGTCGGTGTTTCAAGATGGTGACACCAATTGAATTATCATCCCTGCGCCCGAACACACGATGCCGAACCTCAGCATTACTAACATGGTGTTGCCACTGGATGTCAGCAATCCTTCGGAGACAACGATGATCGAACACAGAAAGACGTCTAACATCCTCAACTCGGAGAGGCCAGGTTTCACAAGCATAGAGCAAAACTGCTCTCACCGACGCGTTGTAAATCCGACTTTTTACAGCCAGACTAACATGACGAAGGCGCCAAAGATGGCCCAGATTGGCATAAGCCGCTCTGGCTTTCCTTATACGTGCATCAATCTCATCACTCACGCCACCACCAGCACTTATATAGCTACCTAGATACACGAACTTCTCAACTACTTCGATCTGCTCACCATCCAGGGTGAGTACAGGATTAGAATCCTGCCAGTCTTGTAGAAGTACTTTGCACTTGGAGGGTGCAAAGCACATGCCGTACCTGCGGACACTGATTGCCAACTGATTAAGTGCTGATTGCATGCCTTGGGCATTATCGCACAGTAAGACAATATCATCCGCATACTCAAGGTCGATAAGTCGTTCTCCAGGCAACATATCCACACCGCCATTACTTACATCCATCAGAGCTGTTTCCAAGATGTCGTCGATGGCAAAGTTGAAGAGGAATGGTGAGATCGGGCAACCCTGCCTAACCCCACTGCTCGAATGGAACAAGGGAGAAAGGTGGTTGTATGCCCTCACTCTGCCTGAGGTGTTCGTGTACAGGGCCTTTAAGATGTTAATGAACTTCTCAGGCACACCCTTCTTCAATAGACAATCCCAGAGAACAGTCCTGTCCAACGAATCGAAGGCAGCCCTGATATCAAGAAACACTACGATTGTTGGCCTGCGATAAGTATGACGGTGTTCTAACATTTGGCGGAGGGTGAAGATGTGATCAATGCATCCTCGACCAGAACGAAAACCAGCCTGCTCCTCGCGAGTCAATCGTTCTCGGGTTTTAAACAACCTACGAAGAATGACAAGCCAATAGTTTGGACGAAATCGGAAGTAGACTTATCCCCCGATAGTTATTGCAGGAACAACGCGAACCCTTTTTTCAAGATAGGGACGACTATTGACTCATTCCATGATGTTGGAACACTTTCTTGCTCCCAAACCTTTGCAAACAACACAGTCAATTCCTTAGTCAGAAAGTCGCCACCATCTTTAAAAAGAGCCGGAGGTAAGTCATCTGGGCCAGGTGATTTGTAGCGCTTCAAGAGTTGGAGTTCCTTGCGGACTTCCGCCTCGTTTGGTGGATCTGTCGTCACCGGCCATGGGGGGCAGGACAAGCTGGTTGATGTTGCCGGAGCAGCAGGCCAGTTGAACTGCCCTTCGAAAAATTCCGCCCATCGTCCAAGACGTCGGGAGATGTTAGTGATTGGCATCCCATCATCCTCGTAGATTGTTTCACTCACACCAGACTTCTTGCTGCCAGTGGCTCGGATGAGTTGGAAGAGCTTCCGGCAGTTACCAGATGCAGCTGCTGCTTCCATCTCATTAGCACGCTCCGACCACCAGGCTTCCCGGTCCTTACGCAAGCTTTGCCCAATTTCATTACGTAACAGCCTTCGTTTGTGGTCAAACTCACGGTCACCCGGAGTAGACCGACGGGCTTCCATCAGTTGTAAGGAGCCAGAAGAAACCCAGTGCTTGTAAGCGGGACGTTTCGCGAAGCCGCAAGCGACTTTACTCGCCATTTTCATGGCGTCGTGAAGATGCAACCAATGCTCATCTATACTTTTCGGTGGGGTGTTAGCTAGCCTAGAGGCTAGCTCCGCTCGGTACTTACTTGCAACAGGAGTTGCAGCCAGTTTACTAATATCAATCCGTTGGTGGTGGTCAATCCTTCGGCCACTGAAAAGTAAGGTGAGATTGGCGCAGACCAGGGCATGATCAGACTCCAGATAGGTACTCCAAAAGGAGCGGCAGTTTTGTACACAACCACGCGAGCGGTAGCTGATCGCGATGTGATCAATCTGAGTCCAGGCTTGGGATGCAGAGGGAGGACGCCAGGTGGCACACCGGCGATGACTGTGCCGGAAGTTAGTGCTGGCCAGAAACAGGTTGTGGTCTGTGCACAGTTGCAGCAAACGGTCCCCGTTATCTGTCCTGCGACCAACAAGTCCCCATCGGCCACCTAGACGACTCTCTTCTGTGCCTAGACGCCCGACCTGTACATTCAAGTCTCCGGCTAGTACTACAATATCTGTCGAACGCGCTTTCTGGAGAAGAACTGTTAACTGATGGTAAAACTCATCCTTGATTGCAACCGGGCTGCAATCTGTCGGGGCATAGGCGGAGATGACGAAAAGACACCGTTTCTCACGCCGGTTTCTTCTCAATTTGATGGAACTTTCTAATCTAACAGCACATAACCGACTGTTAATGGGGAACCAATCGATTAGTGCTGCCTCAGCCCTAGCGCTTAGTGCGACACCAACGCCAGCAAGACCAGACGAAGATGCCACAGGGTCCCCGGATAAGCGCACGTGGAACAAGCTTTTCGAGGAGACAGATGGAGAGCGGATTTGTAGTACTTCACTAGAGTCTTGAATACGGGTCTCGGATAGACAGCAAACATCAACATTAAAACCTTCCAAAGACATAGCCAGCCCTATCTGTTGTCTGATCTGCATTAGTGTGCGAACGTTGAAGGAAGCCAGCTTGAACGGCGTACGCGGTTTCAGAAAGACTGCCTCAGTATTCATTATCGGTGGAAGCATTCACTTTCAACCAGACAGTGACTGGAGATCGTTTAGATAGGACAGATTTTCCACCAAGAGCGAGCTGATGCATAAGTTGAAGAGTAAGGTTACACAAATTGGGGGTAAAAGGGGGTGAATTAGCGATATGGTAAGTAATAATAATAATAATAATAATAATAATAATAATAATAGTAATAGTAATAATAATAATAATAATGATAATGATAATAATAACGTAAATTGTCTTGCTTATAATATGAGCAGGAATAGAATCGTCAATAGAGTTCGTCATTTCATTCATTTGTGTGTGGGCTGTGATACTGCCCGGGTGCCCAAACCGAAGCAGGTGGTTTTCTTAGGGGGCCACACCCGGAGCCTTTGACCTAAAGGTCTGATCCACAAGGCAGTGGAGCATCGTGAGGAGATGCAGTCCCATGGTAGTCGTTGACCAATGACAGGTTCTTCCACCATTCGTTCCATCAGGAAACTGGAGCCCATGTGCACCATTGGTTTGGAATCAGGGTTTTCCAACTCCCCTAGGTGGACCCTCCGTGTCCACCAATCCGGTTATAGCGCCGGACATTCGCTTTTCGTCCTCTCACTTTCGTAAACAACAGTAATGCCAAGAGAAGGCAGTGAGTAGGACTTCCCTGGCGGAGGCTATATATTCGCTGGCCATATGAGAGCATTTCGAGAGGGAGAGTAGACTCTCCCTACTCTCGGCCTTACCAGGGCATTTGGGGGCAGTATGCATATATGCCAATAAGAGGCTGAATAGTTGCAGTCCTAAGTATCAAACAAACAATACCAAGTGTATTTTGAACATTGTCATCTGTAAGATAATTCTCAATAATGATAACAACATTGTGTAAAAGTGGTAATCATCTTGACCATAGTCCCTGAATTTTGTTATTATGTTGTTCATCTTGAATAAACAATCTTAATAAGTAATATAGATATTTATCACTTATTATGTGTAATGATGCATCAGTGATTAAAACATTTAACTTCTGAACACTTACTACGATTTGGAAAATCAAGTCATATTGTTAGCTTTAACATTTCAAGTGTAGCTAGAGTTCTTGTAGATGAATTTATTGTCACTTATTATTTCTCGATCCTATAAACTTGTAAAAGAAGTATTCAGTTTATAAAATAACTCATAGGAATATGGAATTATTACATTTCATTATAATCTATTTTAATTCATTACAACTATATCAGTGTAACTCTTAAAGATTGCACAACTCCATGCACTTTCCTGATATTATAAGACATTTGTCAAAATAGAAGTAATCAGTGGTCTTAATATTCTCCTTTCTTTGTGAATAATAAAATTCATATCGGCTCAGCGGTTGCCCCCAAATGCTCTGGTATTGCCGAGAGTGGGGAGAGTCCGCTCTCCCTCTCGAAATGCTCTCATATGGCCACGCGAATATATAGCTTCTGCCAGGGAAGTCCTACTCACTGCCTTCTCGTGGCATTACTGTTGTTTACGAAATTGAGAGGACGAAAAGCAAATGTCCGGCGCTCCACTGTCTTGTGGATCAGATCTTCCAGTCAAAGGCTCGGGGTGTGGGCCCCTAAGAAAACCACCTGCTTCAGTTCGGGCACCTGGGCAGTATCACAGCCCTCGAGCAAATCGAATGAGATTTGTGAGGCGCATATTTATCTGGTGCTTCCTTGTACCAATATTTATGTGTTTAAATAAATAAATAAAAAATTCATGCAATATTAGAGTAAACTTCATATTAATAATCTTCTAATGTAATGTTAGTTGGTGTGGATGTGTAGAAGAATAAGGTGAACTGTCTAGATATTGTACACTTACATTTTTTGATATCATCTTGGTATTGTTTAGTTGTGTAACACACTCACATTCTATTGTTCGACCAGATATGACTAGAATCAAGATTAAATTGTGACGAAATATACAATATGCAATATAGACAATGTAAGACAACAGTCATAGCTGTCTATCTGCACCCATTGAACAATGATAGTTTACTTTCACCCGGAAACATCAATTTTCATCTAACAACAGACCACAGCTTTTTACATATTTAATCAATCGTATGCTCATTAGAAATAGCTAAATGAGATGGTCAATCGATGGCAATCGGAAATGACTTGACGAACAAATGCATATCTTTAGCTAAGAAATGACTTGATCTTCTAAGGGTTATATGCATATATATGCGCGAGTGTTTCGTTGATCTTTTTCGGTACCTTAATATCTTTTCTCATCTACTCTCGTATTGTTGCTGAAGTAATCAGTTGTAGATAGTGGTTACCATGTAATACGTCATGTATCCGATTTCAGACACTGCCCATCCATCATAACATTTATCTATACCTAATTATTATGTAATCTATGTATTATGATTTGTTCTTATTTATTGATTTTTCTATTTTGTATATATTTATAGGTGAAGTGTGCTTTTGGTTGGTCGACTAATATCAATTTACAATTGTACACTGCATTAAATACTGATAATATGAATGATTTAAAACTACTTGCACATGTTACACCTAATCAATTGATCAATTTGGACGGTATCACTTTGTATGCTTCTGTTTAATAAGACAATTTGTTATAAATATTTATTTATTTGTTTATTTATTTAATAAAGAAGAAGTGTTTCGGATCCGAAAACAGAGTTTCATTTTAAAATAGATCTGTTCTATTTTGATCATTACAGAATTGATGATATTATGTAACTACGGAACATGAATTTGTATTTTTGGTTTTCTGAAATGGAATATGATGAAATCTAGACTTATAGGTCTATCTTTATGTAGCCCATTCTATATTTCTTTGTAGTTTCAATTATGCTGTGACAAATCAATGAGCTTGGTTTAAGAAAAAGTCATACACAAATATCGATTTGATTACTCAGAATTATGTCAACATTAGCAATTCTTCATTACTCGTCATCAGTGTTTTCACCGTTATAGTTTCATAGTAATAAAGTGATCATTTAATAAAAGTTATAACACTAGATCCGAGGTTGTCGTACGACTTTTTTTAATCGCCTAAAGTAGTATCCTTAGTTTTTACACTACAAATGTGCTTCTAAGATGAACTCTATCGATTGGTTTACATGGTTACGGAATCATATTTTAAGAATATAGGTGACATTCGGATCGATATAGATTACTATTTTGATTATGTTGATCGATGTCCATCCTTGTCCTTGACCTCTTATTTACCGCAAATGAACGATAGTGAGTAGAGTCAGCTCTCCGTCTGATAAGTCTTACTGATCGAATACTATACTTGGATCTTAAGCTAGTCTCGTAACCGCCAAGCTAGAACTACACAGCGACTTGAACACCAGAGAAAAGGCGAAAAATATACGAGAAGCACTTTATTTTAAAGGTTCATTTATGTACAAGAAATATAGGGTTTTTATAGTATTTTAGAAGTCCTTGGGTTTTCCTGAAAATTCTAGAATGCTACTAAACATAGTAGCACTGTAGTAGTCAGCCAATCAGAAACTCTACATGTGACTTTTCATTTTCATGATGTTTCTAGCAAAACTTCTAGTCAAACTCTGATTGGATAAAATGCTTCTTAATGTTTCCTGAACTTGTCATGTCTATTGCGAGAAACTTTCTGGATCATCCCAACACCCTCTCGAAATGTTCTCACATTGCCACGTGCATACAACCACTGTAACGGAAGTCCTACTCACCGCCATTTCGCAGCAAGGGTGTTATTTACGAAAATGAGAGATTGAGAAACGAATGTCTGGCTCTTTAACTGGGTTGGTGGACACGGAGGATCCACCTAGGGGAGTTGGAAAACCATGATTTCAATCCAATGGTACACATGGGTTCCAGGATCCTAAGGAAACATATGGAGTATGAACCTATTGTTGGTCACCGACTACCCTGGTATTGCATCTGTTTACGTTACTCTATTGCCTTATGGATTGCACTTAGTGTGTGGTACCATTAAAAAACCACCTGTTTCGGTTTGGTCACTCGGACAGTTTTCATCACGCACATAAGTCTAGTGTCTTGTATCGCAATATATTTGATGCCTCCTTATACCAATGTTTATGTGTTTAAATAAGTTAACCTCTTATTGGAGGTTACCGGTTAGCACATATACTACACATACCTAGTAATCACTCAAATTGCTATCTGATATAAGGTTAAATTGAAAGAAACTTAAAGTGGACAACTACGTTCATAATGTCAATCCATAAAGTTATTGTCAGCTGGACTGTTCCTTTTGTTAGAAGGCATAGGTTGATAATTCGGCGCCAGCTTAGTTATAATAATGCGTACTTAAAAATGTTCGGATGGCAGTCTTGAAAAAAAATCTCATATCTCGTAAATCACGAATTAAGTCTTGCTCCATAATCTCATACGTTCAAAATAAAACAATCTGCAAGCCATATTGGTGAAATACTGAACAATAAGCGCACGTTTAGTGTATTTGTTTTTTAAAATTCAAATGATCCATACGTTGACAATCCAAAATTGTAATTCTGTTAACACATATGTGCAAGCTTACGAGATTTATGCAAAGTTGTTTATAAAAATAATTACTCCTTTGTAAAGTATCCAAAAATAGATTGATTTACATCCAGATTTAGTATCATCTTTTGTGTAATTTGTTTATAATGAGAGGTATCATTGATAAACTTTGCAAAATTCATTAATGGTATTAAAATTTCACATTCTTTTATAACATTCCATATGGTCAATGATGTGATAAATTGTCTAAGTATTGGACATCGTGAACTGATCTAAGTTAAAAAAGAGTGAAAATCTTAAAGCACTAGATGGTCATTTCATCCTCGTACTCAACTTAGTATGTTGCTTTTAAGTAGAGGGTAATCGGACTTAACAACCTCCGCAAACCTACATTGACAGTTATCATGTGCTGACTAGCGTCGTGAGGAAATTTCCGCAATTTTAATGCGGAGCTGTGACTAGTGTAGTGCGGTAGGGTGTTGTTTACGAAATTGAGAGGACGAAAAGCGAATATCCGGCGCTCTAACCGGGTTGGTGGACGCGGAAAGTCCACGTACGGGAGTTGAAAAACCCCAATTCCAAACCAACAGTGCATATGTGCTCCACTATTTTGTGGGAATAAATGGCGCATGAACCAATTGTTGGTCACAGACTACCATGGGACTGCATCTCCTTACGATGCTCCACTGCCTTGTGGATCAGATCTTCAGGTCAAAGGCTCCGGGTGTGGCCCCCTAAGGAAACCACTTGCTTCAGTTTGGGTACCCGAGCAGTATCACAGCCCTCACACAAATCAAATGAGATTGGTGCGGAACATGTATATCTGGTGCCCTTTGTACCGATATTTATGTATATATATTATTCATCTTTTTAATTTGACCCCGTTGAACCTTCTGTAGTATGTCATTTTGGACAAACATTTTTGTCGGGATCTACGTTGATTATGATTTAGGGTAAATTTTGGTTACGTTATAGGTGACTAGTTTTTCTAATATGAATGTGGAAGTTAGATTTAGATATTAAATTAATCGCGGAATTTGTAATAATATAGTCAGAAATTGTGTATATTTCGTTTAATTTCAAATTCAAGTATCTAAATTCTTCCCTTTTTTGTTACTCCAATAAAAACAATTGTCAGAAATGGGGTTTTATGAAGATTTTAGTAATTGTATATAATTGAAATCATGAGTCAATTGAAGCTAGACCACCATGGAAAATCGCGAGGTGGGATCGTGGACGTGCACTGCTGAGGAGTCCTACAATTAAACGAAACGGCCTTCCAGGTTTAGCTTCAATTGACTCATGATTTGGTCTATATAAAACGATTGCTTTAATCACTATGCGATATACGTAATTGTGATTATCATTTAACTACGTGCAACTTGCATAGAAATTTTCGAGTCGATCTATCATGATTTTAATTTTCAGAGTTTAATAACAAAATAGATATGTAAATCGTCAATGAGTGTCCCGTAAATTCATTTATCTACTTCATCTCCTTTTGGTGTGATATACATATTACTTACAATTGTTAAGTAGTGTGAGTCCTATAGCAGCATTTTGTTACACTGATGAGTATGTCCTTGCAAATGCTGCTACTTTAAATAAAAATCCATTATTTTTGTTTGGCGCTTCCGGTCAAAAAATTTAGATACTCATGGGGAATCTTAAAATGAAAAGCACGAGATTTGCTTGAAATACGTCGTTAATATCTGTGAGAATAGAAGCATGAATTTAAAAAATTCAATTCATGAAGTGCCTCAGGAGTTTACTGCATCAGTATATAATTAAAGAATAAACACTCCCTACGACAGTTATACAAGAAATATCTACAAAACCTGCGGTTAGCTGTGTAACAGTTATTAGCCGTCTTAACACAAGCAACATTTGAAGCGAAAACTAAGAATATACAGTACATAGAAACTGTTACAGATAAACAGTCGTTCAATGAATGAAAGAAAACGCCATAGTAACTGTTGGAGATGTGAAGAGAACAGAATTAAATTATTAGATGAGCTGAACGTTACAAGTTCATAATAATAGTTTCAAATATACGGTATGTGCTCTTTGTTGACTAACAGTGGAATCCAGGACTCGCGTTTCGTCCTACTTATGACTCGTCATCTTGACGTACCTGAAAGTTGATAAATGTAAGTTTTTTTAAAAAGTGTTAGTAATAACAGTATGAAAGGAAATGTGAAAAATTGCTCAACTAGTTACTCACGAATGATGAAGGTTGTGTGTGTGTGTGTGTTTATTGAGTCCAGAACGTGTCCACAAATTTTAATAAAAGAAACAGTATCTGAGATTTTGTTTTTTAATATTCATATAAAGTTCCTCATACTCAGGGTAGAAAATTGTTACTTTCAACACAGTTGACATGAATGGATGACCTATTTAGTGCACAGTTAACTGGATAACCATGTACTTATTTATATTCGAAAAATTTAATGTTTGATTATATTGGCTTCATAAATTTATGATCCAGATCGCTGAGCGAAACGTTCGATTTACTTAAAATTCAATCGCTGAAATTTAACAAATATGATTTTCATTCAATGATGTCTTACATTATCTCAGCATACAACTACTATGAAAATAATCGTTCGGATTTAGACGGGAGTTCTCATCAGTTTTCAACATTATCTTCTCGTTGTTTTTTGATTATGTTTAGTCGGTATGTTTACTGAAAAATGCACCGTGAATGAACTACTTCCCAGCTTAAGAATAGGTTGAAGATTGTTGACAGGTTATCCTGTTTGATTAAGTATCTGAGCTAATTTACACTCATCAGTAAGACATCACGAGATGAGTGATCCTTACTTACTTACTTACGCCTGTTACCTTCAATGGAGCATAGACCGCCGACCAGCATTCGCTAACTCACTCTACCCTGGGCCTACCTTTCTAGTTCTATCCAACTTTTGTTCATTCTTCTCATGTCTGTCTCCATTTCAAGGCGGAATGTGTTCTTTGCTCTTCATCTAATCCTTTGAATTTCAGAATTCCATGTGAGGGCTTGCCTTGTGACGCAGTTGGGTGAATGAGTGATCTTAATGAGATGCAAACCCAGGTCACCCGATTTCAAATTCTGAGACGTTACAACAAAGTTACTCAAGCCCATAAGCATTTCCTGTAGGACTGAGATGTTAAAATTTGACTGATCATGATGGTAATGTTACAGAATGTGAAACTAGTTGGTCGGGATTCGAATCTCACGAGGAATACTAATCTCCTGTGTTTTATATTACGCCTTACTGACGAGTGCCAACTAGAAGAGAATCTAGATCACTCATCGTTTCCTAATATTCCAACATACTTCACGCGACTCTGAGTCATTTTGACTTGTGGTGACATTATAACTTGATTATTAGAATTAATCCGATATTCCTAAATAATTGGACAAACATGATATTGGTCACTACCCAATGATCAGTCATCTATGGACTAGGAATAATCGTCCCGAAATTTCCCTCATAAAAGCCTTTAAAGTTTCAGAAATGCCAAGAAACATTTTATCCAATCAGCATTGAATAGAAGGTTTTCATTAGCGCCTAGAAAATGACGAACCGTGTGTCACGGTTTTGATAATATATTCACACATACTGCCAGAAATCGTTGGAAGCTTAAGCTCGTGCATAGCTCCATAAATGCGTTCATTTTTCTGCACATAAAATTATTTTGGAATGAATCTCTTGCAATTTCCTGCTGACATGCAGAAGTAATTTAGGTTATGGGAATCGACTAGTAAAACAGTATTAAGCGTCACGATAACATACTTGTCATTATTATAACTTTTAATTTAATATTTGGTTAACGTATTATTATCTCAGTAATCTGATAGTGAACATACGTGATCTTTGAATGCACTGTTAACTCAAAAACCAAAAATATCGTTCTAGAAGTCTAGTTTACTGAACTATGCGACGAAAATTACTGATTTCAACTCGTTTATGTAAATAATGCAATTCTCCTATTTCTTTACTCTTATTCCTGAAGCTAATTTAATAGATAAGTCTTCAAAAAAGGCTTTTGGTATATAATGCAACCTGAGAAAAGTTGATATTACAAACAAAAAAAATTGATAAGCAGAGATGGATAGTGGCTAGCAGTGGAATCCAGGACGTGTGTTTTGTCGTATTTGGGACTGGTCAGCTGGATGTACATGCATCTCAGAGTTGATGTTCACTCTGGGACTCGAACCCAGTACCCTCGCTTCGAGTCCCACAGTGAACATCAATTCCGAGATGCAGCTACATCCAACTGACCAGTCCCAAATACGTCGAAACACGTGTCCTGCATTCCACTACTAGCCAATACACATCTTTGCTTACAATGCTTGTCAATTGAGGCAATATCGAGGCAATTCGCACAGTATGCACATATGCCAATAACACACTGACCAGTTGCAGTCCTAAAACATCAATGGGAAGATTCAAACAAACAATACTAAGTGAATCTTTCAAAAATTATTAATTTTAACCAAAAGCATCCTATGTATGAATATATATTTGTAAAGGCTTGAAAAATGCAATGACATAATACAGTACTATGCAACCAATAGAATAAGAGCATCGTTCACCGCACTGTATAAACAAAGAATAACACTCATGTGAAGTTTTTAAGTGGAAGAATTTCAATAATTCAAAACTAATAATTGGTGGGAGGTTTCAAATCCTTGTCAGATAAGATCATATTATCTACCGTTGCTAAATAAACTTTTTTCATTATTTGCTATCGCAACTCCCTGAACACTAAATAAAAAACAAACCACATCAGTTTTTCGATTTTCAAGATGAAAATAAAATGAATAGTAAAACATAGAAATTTAGTTGTCAATAGTAACTAATCAAGATCGAGATCTACAGCACAATTTATGAGCCATATGTATAGAAATTTGAACGCTTCACTTGTACCTAAATTTTTTGTTGATGATGTCTTCCAGAGAACCAAACTCCACTAAAATCAATTATCTGAGCCACAAATTAGTAGTTTGCCTAACACTAATTAACAATATTTAGCCGAGTCACTGTCCTCTTCTTCTTCTTCTCCTTTCTTATTCACTGTTTAGATTTCTATTTATCTCCATTTTGAATTGTACATCTATATATTCTCTATTCATTGTTTTATTATTTTGATTTTACAAAATTCATTTCAATCTAGTCACGATAATTTGCATATATACGTATATTCATTCTTCAATGTTTCAAATGTCACTCAATCTGTCTTTTTCTAACTTTTTTTAATATCCCTATGAATGTTTCCATAACAACGAGGAGAACACATCAATATACATAAAAACGAGTAAAAAGAAAACTTATTCGAGATTATGGCCTATTTTTGATTCATCATCATTATTTCTTTTGTTTATTCATTTATTCAACGCCCTAAAATGAGTGTGTCAATTTCATATTTATATTGAACAAAATACCATCATTATCATCATCATCATCGATTTGGGATATAAGTTGACGATTATCCAATGCCAGTAATGACAACTGATTTATACCGAACATAACGGAAGAATCCAATATTGGGAAGAAGCAGTTATAAAGTGGATTTTATGAACAAGCTCTATTGATGGTACTACCGGGTACTTGAACTGGAATGTGGTAAAGTATGTTAAGGAATGACTTTTAAAAAAGTGGTTGGAAGTCAATTGTTTGAAATGATAAACCACCGCTCTACAATAACTTAGAAAGTATATGCTACTCAATTCCAAATTAGTAGTTTAATGTAGTATCAACAAATATGATACAATGAATTGAGTTGAATTGTGAAATAATTACAAAGTTTATACAGCTGACAAATTTTAAAACGTGACAAAACAGACACATATATACATCTTTTGTCCAAAAATATTCAAACTAAGCTACATAGTTATTAGATATGGAAGACCGTTGACATCCTGTGTTGAGAGGTCTCGTGTGCTTTCCGATAAATGATAGCAAGTGAAAAGAATTGTTGAAAAATTATCTGTATACACGATTCTAGTAAAACAATTTGGACTGAGAAATCCTTTCCCAAGTGGATGATACTTAACGAAAAGCAGAAAACGACCAAATGCCTTGGTACGGCCGAGAGTGGGAAGAGTCACCTCTCCCTCTCGAAATGCTCTCATATGGCCAGCGAATATATAGCCTCTGACAGGGAAGTCCTACTCACTGCCTTCTCGTGGCGGGGGTGTTGTTCACAAAAGTGAGAGGACGAAAAGCGAATGTCCGGCGCTTTAACCGGGTTGGTGGACATGGAGGGTCCACCCAGGGGAGTTGGAAAACCCTGATTCTAAACCAATGGTGCACATGGGCTCCAGTTTCCTGAGGGAACAAATGACGTACGAATCAACCGTTGATCACCGGCTACCATGGGACTGCATCTCCTCACGATGTTCCACTGCCTTGTGGATCAGACATTCAGGTCAAAGGCTCCGGGTGTGGGCCCCTAAGAAAATCACCTGCTTCAGTCTGGGCACCTGGGCAGTATCACAGCCCTCACACAAATCGAATGAGATTTGTGAGGCGCATATATATCTGGTGCTTCCTTGTACCAATATTTATGTGTTTAAATAAATAAATAAATAAATAAATAGGATAAACTGGAAAAAATCCACTGAATTTCCAGTTTTCTTGAAAAAATTATCATTGTTATATGCAAATAAAACATTGAAACTGACTTCCAAGGAATTTGAGGGATATTTAGAATAATTAATAAGGAAATGGCATAGACAATATTCCACTTACCTGAAAGCTCTTCATGTACAAACAGTATTAGACTTTGAGTAAATGATAAAATCCAACGATCCATAAAATTATTTGTCGAAGGAAACTCATCTGATTTTACAATGAATAATTGATGAGTCGTTTTTTGATATGGAAAGATTGATGACTAAATTAAGAAAATGTAAAATTGTAAAGGTTCAGTTTTTAATCACTGAACAATTAGATATATTATAAACACAGACCCCGAATGATGATGATGATGATGATGATGATGATGATGATGATGATGATGATGATGATGATGATGATGATGATGATGATGATGATGATGATGATGATGATGATGATGATGATGATGATGATGATGATGATGATGATGATGATGATGATGATGATGATGATGATGATGATGATGATGATGATGATGATGATGATGATGATGATGATGATGATGATGATGATGATGATGATGATGATGATGATGATGATGATGATGATGATGATGATGATGATGATGATGATGATGATGATGATGATGATGATGATGATGATGATGATGATGATGATGATGATGATGATGATGATGATGATGATGATGATGATGATGATGATGATGATGATGATGATGATGATGATGATGATGATGATGATGATGATGATGATGATGATGATGATGATGATGATGATGATGATGATGATGATGATGATGATGATGATGATGATGATGATGATGATGATGATGATGATGATGATGATGATGATGATGATGATGATGATGATGATGATGATGATGATGATGATGATGATGATGATGATGATGATGATGATGATGATGATGATGATGATGATGATGATGATGATGATGATGATGATGATGATGATGATGATGATGATGATGATGATGATGATGATGATGATGATGATGATGATGATGATGATGATGATGATGATGATGATGATGATGATGATGATGATGATGATGATGATGATGATGATGATGATGATGATGATGATGATGATGATGATGATGATGATGATGATGATGATGATGATGATGATGATGATGATGATGATGATGATGATGAATACTTCATTAACCCATCAAAACATAATGATGCTCATTTGAACGATAAATAAATGATACCGGCTACCTGAAATCGTGAATTGGATGGCATAATTATGAAAACATAAATAGTAGATGAGGATTTATTTGACATGAAAAACCTTTCGAGGCGATATCGGAATACATTTATTTTTATATGATTTATTTATACTGTTTAATCTTTACATTGTCATGATTTAAACTAAATAATACTTGATATAAATTGATCAATGAATACACTTACAATTGAGAGGACGAAAAGCGAATGTCCAGAGCTTCAACCGCGTTGTTGGACACGGCGCATCCACCTAGGGGAGTTGGAAAAACCTGATTCCAAACCAACGATGCACATGTCTCCAGTATCTTGAAGGAACAAATGGCGTATAAACCAACTGTTAGTCACCGACTACCATGGAACCGCATCTCCTCACGATGCTCCACTGCCTTGTGGACTAGACCTTTAGGTCAAAGGCTCCGGGTGTGGCCCCCCCAAAAAACCATCTGTTTCGGTTTGGGCACCTGGACAGTATCACAGCCCTCACATAAATCTTATTTGATTTGTGTGACGCATATGTAACTGATGCCAATATCTGTGTGTTCAAATAAAAAATATAAGACTTGCAGTTTCATTAAATTACCCGTCTATAATCAATAGATTTAACAAATTTATTAAGTTACATAATAGCTCTTTCTAGAGATGTGTTTACGAGTTACAGACGATTGGGAAAAAAACAATTTGTATGTCACATGAACTTTTATCGGTTAGGCCAGAGCTCAGCATATCGAATAGGTTATTATACATGTGTTATGGTTGAAAAACAATAATTTAATTGATGAATATTAAAATGTCTACATTGTTTGGTTATATATGCGAACGGAACGAAGGACGTCACAAAGACAAGACAAGCTGAACAATTACAATGCGTCCCAGCTTCGCTAACTTAAAGTAGAAGACAAGTTTCAAATAAGTGAAGTGTATATTCCACAAGCGTGCAGAAGTGCGAACAAAACAAGCCAAAAACTCAATCACACATATAGTATGAGAATGTCCTTGAAAAACATCACAAAATATCGTATTAAAAGAGACAACATACCAATCCCATTAACGGTCCTTCCAAGTGAGAAATACAATATGAATGGGCGTTTTTGGTGTGAAAATGAAAAATTCAAATATCTAAAACAAAATTACAAAAAAGGCGTTTATCAAATCATTTCTGAGGATCTAGTAATCGAAACGTAAAAATTATTTCAGGAATTTATGTTACGAACGATCAATATTATTATCACTATTTGAACGGTAATTTAGTGGTTAATTTGATCCGATTTCAACTGGACGATATGTAAACCTGAACTCTAGCTAGCCTACTTTCATTATCATCAGTCAGATAGCAGTTACATCACTCACACACACACAAATATGAATACTCAAATTTGAACATACAAACCTGGTTCATCATATTACTTAAAAGAATTATATGAATAAATGTAAATTAAGTAATTTTTCAGAAGGGGTTTTTTGTAAAGATTTCAGTATTGTCATAGTTGAAATCGTGAGTCAATTGAAGCTAGACTACTATTGAAAACCTGGATGCACTGGACGGCGAGGCGGGATCGTGGTTGCCCACTGTTGAGGAGTCTGAAAATAGGACGAAACGGTCGTCCAGTGCTTCTAGGTTTTTCACTGTGGTTTAGCTTTAATTGACTCATGATTTCAATTATGTGAGTAATCTTTTATTAAATCTAATAGAATGGAGATTTTGTGGAGATTGTATTAATTTAATAGTTGAGTTCTTTAGTTAATAATTGGTAAGACTACCATAGAAAACCTAGCAACACTGGATTTGAATCCTACAGGCGAGATTGTGGTTGCTCACTGCTGAAAAGTTTCATACGAAATTGAAACGACTATTCAGTACTTCCAGATTTTCCATAGAATGGTCTATCATTCTATGATTCAACTATATATCGTTTGTTTGCAATTCATTTATCATTTTAACACGTTCATTTTATGCAATTTCACCCCTCCCCCCCCCAAAAAAAGAAGCTTATTTTGTCATATTCCGTGACATCATCTATAATCAGTAATTATGAATTCAAATTATAATTTAGGTCAATTATTCAATTGATATAAACATCTCTATATATAGATATATATAAAGGAATACATTTATACTTGTATAAACACACACACACACACAGCTCACATATAAGATGTTAATATCCATATACGTGTGAAATTATTCCTTTTAAAGAAGAACAAAAAAAAAGAGGAAAACAGTGAAAAGAAAAGAAAAAAATTTCTGTTTATTTATTTGCATAAATCTATTTGATTATAGAGTTCACATTCAACTGATTACATGAATGAGTTTATCAAAGTTCAGTAATAATAATAATAGTATCTAATGTGGATCATTACTTACTTACGCCTGTTACCCCCCATGGAGCATAGGCCGCTGACCAGCATTCGTAAATCCACTATGTCCTGGGCCTACTTTTTTAGTTCTATCCAATTTTTATTAATTCTTCTCATATCTGTCTCCATTTCTCGACGTAATGTTTCCGTTGGTCTTCCACTTTTCCTTTGGCCTTCAGGATTCCATATGAGGGCTTGTCTTGTGATGCAGTTGGGTAATTTCCTCAATATATGTCCTATCTACTTCCAGAGCTTCTTCCTGATTTTTTCCTCCGCTGGGATCTGGTTTGTTCTCTCAAACAGTAGGTTGTTGCTAATAGTGTCTAGCCAATGGATACGAAGTATTTTTGCGTAGACAACTGTTAATAAACACTTGTATTTTCTGGATGATGGCCTTTGTAGTTCTCCAGGTTTCCGCACCATACAGTAGAACTGTCTTGATATTTGTATTGAAAATTCTAACCTTGGTGTTGGTTGACAACGGTTTTGAGTTCCAGATGTTCTTCAGTTGTAAATATGCTGCTCTTGCTTTGCCGATCCTCGCCCTCACAACTGCATCAGATCCACCGTGTTCATCAATTATGTTCCTCAGATATGTAAAGATTTTCATATCCTCCAGAGCTTATCCATCAAGTGCAATTCGATTGGTGCATGCTGTGTTATATAGGAGAGTCTTGCTTTTCTCTTTGTTTATATTGAGACCTACTGCTGCTGAGGCTGCCACTACAGTGGTCGTCTTCTGCTGTAGAGAGCCAGATCATCTGCGAATTTTAAATCGTCCAGCTGCATCCTAGCTGTTCACTGTATCCCGTGCTTCCCTCCAGATGTTGATGTCTTCATGATCCAGTCGTTTACCAAGAGAAAGAGAAGAAGTGAGAGTAAGCAACCTTGCCTTACACCGGTCTTTACCTCGAATGAGTCAGTGAGTTGTCCTCCATGAACGATTTGACAGTTTAATCCATCATGGGAATTGTGAATAATTAGATTAATGTTAAAAGTAATGATTACATAACTTTGATAGAAGGAAACTGAATTGAATTGAATTGATCCATTCTTTAATAATGATGCCTATATGGTATTTGATTGTATATTTATTCATCGTATTTCAGGTTCACTATCTGACTTCTATTCGCTTTTATCTCTGAGAGAAAACTATTTCATTGAGACCAATAATGGGATATTTCTTAAATTTGATTGTTTTTCACTGTACACAAAATATTAGTTTACCATTATTAGATTGATACTTCTTGTTGTTAGAATCAGATGAAACTAATATCTTAATTTATTATGCTTTTAACATCAAAATATAGAGTGTATGAACACGTTTACAAAGATCACATGACATAAATGATTAAATAAGTTAAATGTTCGCATACGAGATCGAAGATCCTGGGTTTGAGCCCCGTATACTGGGTTGTGGATATTCACTGTCGACGAGTCTCATATTAGGACGAAATGGTCGTCCAATGGTTACAGATTTTCAATGGTTGTCTAGCTTACATCGACTTCTGAAGTCAATTGTTAAAATTTCTACAATCTCCACAATTCCTCATTCTGATACAGAAAATATCACTTAATAAATTATACTTAACGGTTTGTACTTAGCTGAGATTTGTGAGAGATTTTCTTATTACGAACTACATAACCTCATATTATTTGTCTTCCATTTGTTATTATCCTCTTCCCATCAGTCTCTTTATGTTCAAAAATGTGATATAATTAATTATACAGAAAAATATATTTATGTACGAGGTTTGTTCTCTATGACATGTTCTCTGTATAATTGGCGTTGTTAGCAGTCGAAGATGTACCTACAAGTTATATAATAACGTGAATATTAGTAAAGCTGTATGTAAAGAGTCACATATTGTTGTTTGACAATTATATTTCATTTTGTGAATAAACTTAAGTAAACAAAAATATCAAAGATGTCAAATACAAACTATTTTAACAACTAAGCAGAAATGGATAGTGGCTAACAGTGGAATCCAGGACGCGCGTTTCGTCCTATTTGGGACTCGTCAGCTGGATGTACCTGCATCTCAGAGTTGATGTTCACTCTGGGACTCAAACCCAGTCCTAACACATCGATAGGAAAATTCAAACAAGCAATACTAAATGAATCATTTTAACAACTGTTTAAAATTGTATTATAATTATCCAGCTGAGGAGTCTCAAATAGGACGAAACGCCTGTCCTGGATTCCATCCCCAGCCACTATCCATCTTTGCTCATACTATTAATAAAGTATTAGATTTAATTGTAGCAAACTAACTTGTGTAGTTCATGTTTAATACTAACATACATATATAACCATTTTCCCTTGTATCCAACCTATTTATTTATAGAAGGAGATTAAGTGTCAAAAAGATGGGAAGCCTAAGATTAATAGTATTATATTTCAATATTGAAGATATTCGATCTGTGTAGATTAGAATAATGAATGCTTTAGGCTATTTGTATATTTTTCATTGTGTTGGAAAAATCAACTTAAGCCCTAATGATGACCTAATGAAATTACCTTCGACATTACAAGACTAAGTAGATGGTTATTTTGTAAAGATCAAATTTGTACAGGAGATAGAATAGAGAAACTTACTTTTTGATAAATCAATCACATTTATTGGACGAGACTATAATTTATGGACGTACCAATCAGATTTACAATGACAGATCTTGGATAGCGTCTTGACAATTTATCTAATGTCAATTCGTCATGAAAACCTTACATTTAATCCTTAACCCTAACCATCGACAGTAAATCATAATTCTAATGCCTCACATTTGTTTAAAACCCTTATTTAGCCCTAGTCAGTAGGTGAACAAGGACACCTTGGTGTCGCTCAAAGGTCGTT